GTTCTGAGCATCATATGTCATATCCAGTTTATGGTGGCTGTAGCAAGACAATAGTGGAAGTGTGTAAGATTCAGCATAACTTACTGTAGCGTCTTGACTGCTGCATAGCACTGTTACCTGAAAGTGGTTCCATGTTCACATGTGTTTGGACTTCTCCATGATCACCTGCACTAGTCTTTCATTCAGAAAATAAAGTTGCACATGGAAGACTTATATAACCTGAAGAAGAGTAAGGCATTTCCGTTAACCTTTGAGAGGCTAAGTCAGTTTATATCACAACACTTAGTAAGTAGTGAGTGTTGGCAAAAGAGGGAGCAAGAAAAAGGTGTTCTGCTACAACAATAGGGATTAGAGTATCAGCCATCAGCCAGCTAGTGTCCGCTAAAGGCTCAGTAGTTCACCTCATCTTAGAAGAAGCCAACATACTTTCTGGAAGAAGAGATCCACAGTCCTATACCCAGATGCCCAGGATTAAGTTTAGGGAGGGAGGGAGAGTTCCTTGTGGAACTGAGAAGTTTTAAGGAGTAAGGCATAAGTTAGCAATGACGTTGGAAAGATGTTGGAATGACGTTGGACCCCATGACACTGCCACTTGTCTGTGATTAGAGTCCACAACACCTTCTTCCTAGGGGAAGAAAAAAAGATACCTTAATCCAAGCTGACCAGAACCAAGTGGGAACTTTCAAGGGGGTCTCTCATAACTTGTGGTGTTCACAGCTGCCTTCTGTGAGGGACCATCCCCAGAAGTGCTGCCATGCCTGCTGCAGGCTCTTGGACAGGAAAGTGGTCTTGGTCAGGATTTGCTTTCCTTTGAAGAATGGATATATAGTGTTTTCTTTGCTACTATGAAGATACAGCACGGACCAGGTTTTTGGACCTGTTCAGGGGCCAACTCTTCAAGTAGAAGGAAGGGTCTCTTGGGAGTATGGTAGGTTGTTTTCCTGTCTAGTCTTCTTTACAACCTACTGAAAGGGAAGGGAGCCAGGGACTGCCCCAAGGAGTGGGTGGCAGAGTAAGCAAGGTCAAGAGAATTGGCTACAGTTCTAGGGCTTTGGCAAACCCCAGGATGATTTTATTTGCTCTCTTGATGTTTGCACATTTGTGTCCCACTGCATTCAACTTGCCAGTTTTTCATTCTTTGCATATGGTTTATATTTTTAAAATTTCCTTTTTAAATGAAAATGCTCTGATTTTTGTGTATTTTACTGTGAAATACTCATTCCTACTGTGTGTTCTCAGGGATATGTCAGTTAGCAGCAGCTCCAGGACTGCACAGCAGGGATTGTTTTATTTGTTAGTTGCTTTAGCAGCATAGAAAAACAATTATTTGTAGTATGTGACCCATTAAGCTACCACATTTTCCCAATCATAACAGACTTCTTTGCTGCAGTGTCCTCTGGTGTTACTGGTCCATGTTTTGAAATAGTGTAAGTGAGAAATTTAAAAAGACCCAGGTCAGCTAGAAGGTCATGTACTGACTGGGTTTCACTTCTCCATATATCAATTTTTCATCATCTGTAAAACCTAAGAATCTCAATTGATGAATCTTCCTCTCTGTATCTCTGTGTGTTTTAAGAGTCAAGTAAGTTTAGGTTTTTAATAATAAACCAGTTTTACCTCATGTTTTCTTGGAGGTATGTGTATGTGCTTGAGAAATGCCATTCTTTAATCCTGCAAAATTCCAAACTTTTCCTGCTTGATTTCCAGACAGACCTTTAAGTCAATTCTTACTTATTGTGTTAATAAGGCCAGTTTTCTGCCCTCTGCTAAAGTTGTACTTGTGATGACATAGTAGTACCCAACAGAGAAAGGGCAGACTCATCTCATTGACGATTGTCTATATGGTGAAAAAGGACAAATACAGCCTGGAGACTGGTCTAATTCTGATTTCCTGTCTCCCTCAAACACCTCTTTAATTTTGTTGTTTTTAAAACATGTCTAGTTCTGTAGAACATCATAACTTCCTGGTTTGTTGTTTGCTAGTCTGTGTGTATGTGCGTGCACACTCATGCATGTGGGCAAGCCTGACTGGTCTTCATTTTCTTTTGGTGTTTTATTTTTTACAAACAGCCAAGTCATCTCTGACACAGATTCTGAAGCAAGCAGGATAGGAAATGTAAATATGAAGACTGTACAGTGGAGGGCTTTTGCTTTTATCCCTTTGTCTTTCCTTTCTCCTCTTATTTTGCTGTGGAAGGAACATGCTTATTTCTGGAGTAACTTTATCTTTTCTTAATTAAAGTATCATCATTGATAATCTTATGATGGTTTCAGATACACAACAGTGGTTCAGCATTCACCCGTATTATGAAGTCCTCACCCCCTCTAGTGCTGTCACTGCCCATCAACACAGCAAGATGTTACAGAGTCATTAACTGTATCATCTAGGAGTAATTCTTAACTCCAAGAAGGGGGTGGTTATGGGAATTGTGCAATAAATTGGAAACACTTAAGAACTGTCTTTTTACCCCAGATTCTACTAGATTAGGTCTGTTCTTCATTGTAACAGGTTAAACACGCTACTGGATTTGGACAACTAGACCGGTTCCTCTAAATTTACTGAATAGTAGAGTTAGTCTTTGTGGGAACTGAGAGTCTGGGGATGGGCCCCCAAAGTCTATTCTGTTAATCCAAGAAATTTAGGGGTAAGTGCAATTCCATGTTACTGCTGAAAACAAAAGCTTTATGTGGAACTGTGAACTTACATAGACAGAATGAAACTAAGAAAATATGTATGTTGTTTTCCTGATCCTTTTCCCTTTGTTCATGAACTGCAGGAAACATTCCTTTAATGGGTCTTAGTGATCTCTTCATTAGGGTGTATTGATAGTTTCATTATTTTGTCTTTTTCCCCCTTCTTTCACCTAGTAACCGTCTCCATCTTCTACTTTTTCTTCTGCAGGAATAAAAAAACTATAAATGAAAAAAGATTTTTAAACACTGATAGCAACCAAAAAAAGAAGTAACTGTTAGAACAGTTCCAGGATTCAATTCTGTTTTGTACATGCTACCAGTATTGTCTTAGTAATTTGTTTTTTTCCATTCTATAAAAATTAGATTAATAATATTCACCTTGCAGAGTTGTTTACCATGCTACAGGTGTATTGCCTGTATTAAATTACTTTGGTACAAGTGTTAAGACAATTCAAACTACGTATGACATTGCTTCCTTACCTTTAAGTCATGGTGCATAGAAAAAATGAGATGATAGTATTTACAAATCACAATGTAGTAAATTGAAGATGCTCCTTTGGTCAGAAGTTAGTGTTCCAAAGGATCAGTTTATCCCAGGTCCTACCTACTGAACTACTTGAGGAAACAATATAATTTACCTGTAACCCATCCACAACATACTGGTTGGGACATTCTGGATAGATGTTGCATGTGAATTGCATCAGGAATCTGTTACAGAAAAAAATTTTCAGTTCTGTTTTTGCTCTGTGTTGGCCTTGTTATTGGGCTATCACCAGTTGGTGATAAAGATGGCCACCTGTGCTAGACTTTCCTCATTCTCACAGTTGTCAATCTAATCAATAAAAATCAATTGCCTTTCTGCTGTTAAAACCATCATAGTTCCCATCAGGTTTCTGACTGGCCCAGCTTGGGTTACATGCATATTCCCAGACGCATCAGTATTAACCAGATGGATGGAATTCTTTGGCCAGCACTTAGTGGCGTGTGTATTGCTATGGATAGGTAGGTTGTATGAAAGTGAGGCGTGATGGTAGGAAAGATTCACCCTATCTGAACCAATGGAATGGATTTGCCATTCCAAGAAGAAGAAAAAAAAGATTGCTTTCTAGACGATGGGAGAAAGTGAAACGTGATGAGTTTACTACTGTCATATTCCACTGTAGTAGCTGATGGTTCTGAAAACGTGGATTTCAATTTAGGAGTATGTGGTATTAGAAGTGAGTTCTTGTTTTGATAAAAATGGATCTCATTCACCTTATTTTAAAACTGTATTTCCCAATATAGTATTTTAATAATAAACACACATAATGTAAGTCAACTTGGTGAAACTACTCAAAGGTGAAACTTCCTCACTCAGATTCAACTAGACCTGTGTCGTCCAATGTGGTAGCTACTACATGTGGCCATTTAAATTTAAGTAAATAATATTGAAAATAAAGTTGCTCAGTTGCAAAAGCTACCTTTTGAAGTGCTCAGTGGGCACATGTGGCTAGTGGTTACCATACTGGCTAAGACAGATGATACATTTCCGTCACAGAAAGCTGTAAGCACTCACTGTTGGTCAAGACTGTTAGACCTTTTTTTTTCTCTTATAGCATACTTTGTCCTATCCTGTTTATCTAACAGGTGTGTTTGTTTTCTTCTAGAGCAACCCATATGGAATTTTCTGCCCACATTTTTCTTTTGCTTCTAGGATGTTATGTCAGTGCATTTCCTTGAATCTTTTAATGTAATTACTGAAGAAATCCAGAAGAATCTTATGGGGAGGGAAGGACAAAGAGTTACTCTGAACCTAACCTAATTCTTCCACGTTAAGGCTGTCATTTTTTCCTCCATTCTGCTTAACTCTGTCTGCCTTCTCTTACAAGTATGGAAAAGAAATACGTTTGTACATAATACCATTTTTCAGATCTAAGCAGCCACAACAAGAATTGGATATATGGAGTAGCATCATTTTACCTTCTCACAAAAAAGATTGCCTTCGATCTAAATACTTTTTTTCCTATTGCACTTAATTTTTTAAAGGTTACTTGGAAAGCTTCCAGACGTTTGACAAAAATTGGAACCTGAAACCAGTTGAGACAATGCCTTCTAGAGTTCATTCTATGCCCTGCAATATGACTTTTAGGCTCAGCTCACACATTCCCTGTTTTGTCTCCCAGTTAGCAGCTTGTTCTAGCCTAGACATATGAGTACTGAAAACAAAATTTTATGAGACTATTTCCACTCCCCTAGGTCTCAAATATTATAGTCTTAAATTAAATACTGTGAATATCTGTAGCTTGACCTTTTTTTCCTGTTTCTAGGACTATCCTGTTAAGTGTAATCTCATTGCTTAATGAGCCCAACACCTTCTCCCCAGCCAATGTGGATGCTTCTGTTATGTTCAGGAAATGGCGGGACAGTAAAGGAAAAGACAAAGAATATGCTGAAATCATTAGGTAAGGTGCTTTGTTTTGTCTTCCATTTGGTCACTTCAAGTCTTAACACAGAAGCAAAGTCTATCCTAGAACCAAGGATTTAAAGTGTTTGAACTTAACTACATATCCCATTTCTCTCAAGTAGATTTATTGTTTGGGAAGAGGTTTCTGCCAGAGCCTCGTGAGTTTGGCTTTTGAGAGCACACAGAAGATACTGCTGTAGCAGAACTGATTGCCTGGGAACCAGAACTTAGATTCTGAACTAGTCACATTTGCAGACTTTCCCTCCTAATGACTAGGGACACAGTTCTGGACTTTCTTAAGTGTACACTTGAGTGTACTCCAGACATTCCTGATATTTTTGTTTTCAAAATTTTTATTAATGAATCCCTACAGTTTACTGGCCTTTCTGACCACAGCAGCAGGTATCTTTGGGGTATGGTCATCATACTCAGTGTCAAGTATCTGGTTCCCCAGAGCTTAGAAACCTCTTCTTAGCAGATTTTGGACCTTTTATCACTTAACGTTTGGGGTCTTTAGTTTTAGTGTACAAGGGAAAAAAGTAAAACACATTAGGCTCAGCCATTCATTTCTAGATCATGAGTAGGATGTAAGGTTTTTATAACAGCACCAAAGAATTGGTACTTGAATGGCAATATTCACTGCCCCTTAATATCAGTACATTTTTGTATTCTTAAAATAGAGTTCCAAGGACAGTTTCATAAGCACTAAAATCTATACAAATAGAAAATATAATGCAGAGAAATGCTTGTCATCTGACGACCGAATATAGATCAGCAGTTCTCAAAGTTTTCTATCCATGGAATCCACTTTTAGACTCGTCTCTAATCTGTAGTCACTTAATGAGATTACAGGGATAGAATCGGGACATCTGTATTTTGCTTTTTTAACCAGGCCATCTAGGTGACTGGTGAGTACTACAGAGTTTAGAAGGAGTGGGAAATTTATAGGAGTGGACTGAGGTTTGGAAGATGGGAATGCTTCATAAAATAGGACTGCAGTCTGTTTTCCTACCAAGGAAAGGTAATACTTTGGAAGTTAGAGTGAATGCAGGGGTATTCCTAAGGGTTTATCTCATTTAATTCTTTCAACAATTACTTATCAGCTATGGGTTAGGTATTCTGATAGGTCATTATAGTCTTTCTTTCTCCTCAGAGAGCTCACACTACTTAACAAGCAGTTGTAAAGAAATGACCATGTACTATAATAAGTACGACTACAGAATCATAAATAAGAATGGAGAGACGGGGGAATATATATAATGCCTAAGAGACAGTATACCTCATAACCAAGTATTTTTCAGATATTTTTGTTTTCAGAATTTTCTCAGGAAAAGCCTTCTCAGGAATAAAGAAACATGTTTGCTAAAATACAGGTGTATAACAGCATGGCATGTCAAGAGAATTTTAAGTAGTTGTACATTTTAATGTAAATTCTGACTTGGGAAATTAAGAGAAACACCAGGTCTTAAAAGACATTGAAAGCAAGGTAAGGCATTTGGCCCTTAATCTTAGGGGCGATGGGATGTCACTTAAGGACTTGGGTCAGGGAAGGGATAATTGTTTCAGTTCTGAGGCTGAGATGAAGACTAAACTGAGGCAGTAGAAAATAATAGAAAGCACATTTGAAAACATTTATATTAGAACCAATACTTTTTCTTTTGAAAAGAAAAACAGGAGAAACTAGCCACAAAGATAGAAAATGACAAATGCAGATTTGCTGAGTTAGGGTTTCTGTGGAACATCAGGATGGAGACCTCCAAAAGGTTTTTATTAGGGTGTATAACTCAGAAAAGGTATGGGCTGGAGCCTGATTGTTTGAGGGCTGTCAGCATGAAGTGAATGGTGGCAAGAAGCATGGGAACGGGTAAGGTGGCCCCAGGAGAGCACGAGGACTGAGACTCATGTCTGGAAGCCTCAGCAACAGCGAAAGGTGAGACTTCGCATAGTGAGGCAGGCAGCAAGCGTGACCAAGAGGTCTACCTGAAGAAGAGGTAGAAGGAAGATAGGGAGGAGGGGAGGGTGGTGGTTTGATGTTATAGATTTAGTTTCTCCAATCCCTTGATGGCTCCAAGTTTCCTTCTAGTTTATCCAGTCAGTATTTTGTTGCACAGCTCAATGTGCCAGACTTTTCTAGATACTAGGGGGAAATAGAAGTGACTCAAGACAGACAAGGTCTGTGCTCCCATGAAGATCACATTCTGGTTAGGAGCAGCGATCGGGGAGGACTAAAGAGAAATGAACGAATGAGGAAAATCATTTAAAAAACTACTAGATAAGTAGGACAATGTGAAGGAGTAACTGGATGGCTTCTCTAAACTGGGTCATCAGAGCAGTCCTCCTCTAAGGGGGTGCTGTTTAAGTTGAAATCTGAGTGACAAGCAGCAGCCAACCACATACAGATTAGAAAAGCAACTGCTTCAACACAAAAAAATAAAGTAGGTGTAGTCAAGGTTCTAAAACCACCACGATGGCTTGGATATTTTAGAATTTGAGAAAGTAATGGTTGATGTGGATGAAGTGGTGCAGGTGGGTCACCCAGGACTTTGGAATTCAGTGTAAGACGTTTGGATCTTACTGTAAGGGCAAAAAGGAAGATTACTAAACTAAGAAGAGTTACCAGGGCTCCATTATGAGTTTAGCATGAGACAGCAAGGCAAAAAAATCTATCTCCGAGGTGATCTCTGGCTAACCAACATTTGAAGTCCACCGCTTTAAACTCCCTTCAAAGGCTCTTTACCAAGTTTCCTTCAAGATGGTACCTGATGGGCTGAGTCTTGGTGTGTAGAGGAGTATCTGCCAGATGCTAAGGCTGGTACAAAGTTCATTAACCTTGGTCATGAGGAATCTTGATTATTTAGAAAGCACAATTATAAATCATGACAGTGTCTTACATAAACTATCCTCCCTTCAGGAAACAGGTTTCAGCCACTAAAGCCGAAGCAGAAAAGGATGGAGTGAAGGTCCCCACGACCCTGGCAGAATATTGCATCAAAACTAAAGTGCCTTCCAATGACAACAGCTCGGATTTGCTTTATGACGACTTGTACGACGACGACATTGATGATGAAGATGAGGAAGAGGAAGATGCCGACTGTTACGATGATGATGATTCTGGGAATGAGGAGTCGTGACGTGCTCCGTCGACACCCCTGTACTGCCCTGCCGTCACAGGCCAAAGGGAGGGGAGCACTGGGGACCTAGCAGTGGCTCCTCAGCAGAAACCTATCACAGGGGGTGGGGAAACAAATGTGGCTCCTGCTGCCTCCCCTTATGGATCTCGGTTTGCTCCTTTTTATGGACCTCTTAATGGAGAGTATTCCTCCACAGAATGTCTGAATTCTTGCATTCTTTACCCTTTCATCACTGTATTGATTCTTTTTTTTCTTTAAACCCAAACTTCTGCCTCACTTCATCTCTACAAAATGTTCCCAGCAAAACACATTTGGTCTGTTTTTAGATTCCTGAGAATTAAATAGTCTTTCATCAAGATGTTTAATGTGTTGAAAGCTGAGAACCTATTGGAAATTCACAAGTGCTGTATATGCTGGGTAGCAAAAGGAAATGGGAGAAAAAAACCCCACAAAACTTTTTAAAAAGCAAATTTGCCAAGGTTTAGCTGCTCATTTGCAGTAGTATGTGTGCATTCATTCAGCCCCAAGGTGGCAAATTTTGGTTCCCTACTTAAAGCTGGGGTACAACAGTCATCAGGGACTTTGTGCTAAGCCTGATGAAGTGTTTCCTAAGGGCACAGAGACCCTTCAGCCTCCAGAACATCATCCTAACACAAAGGTCTCAGCTGAGGAGAGAAGTCAGAATTTGTTTTTTGAAATTGATTGGGATCTAAAGCCTGAAATAAATATTCATACTTTACATAGAACTGAGCACTTGATTGCTATTTATTTTAAAGGCAGAGTTGTTATTCCCCTGCCCAGGGAGTGTGGATTAGTATGTGTGTGGTCTTAGAGCTGGTAACAAAGTTTAAATCAGTATGCCAATATTGGTTGCTGCTGCTGGGGGAGAAAACGTCAAAACTACTGGTGACCATTGTTGGGCAAGAAAATACCTGTTTTATATATTTAACATGGCCTTTCCCTCAAAGCTACACTCTCATCATGAGGATTTTTTTAAGTAGCCAGTTTCAGTTACTCAGTATTACTACTAGGTGCATGTGTGAAAATTCTGGTTTTCAGTGAGCTGCTCATACCAATAATGGTAACTACAGATATCTGAGACATGAGTGGCCGGTTCCTGCTTTCCTCACTGGCTGTGACCTGGACTTCTCTCTTTCAGTGTGTACTCTGGCTATGGAGAGCAAGCAAAAGTTGCACCTGGAGCTTGCCCTGGGCTGGCTCTGACTCTTCTCAGCAGGGCCGAGGGAACTGGCTGCAGGCAGCGTCTGGGAAAGCCCTCACTAGCCAGGGACTTCAGAACTTGGCAGTGATTTTTGTTTCTTATGCAGCCAGCCAGTTCATAGGAGGGCTTTCAGTGGGGGAAAATCACTACAGTGCAAACAAGATTTTGGAAGGAACATACGGCAGACTGACTGCAGCCCTACTTTAGATCCCTGTACGCTAAGTGTCAACTCCTCTTCTTCAGATTGTAGCTCAGAAAGAACCAAAGGGTTGATGAGGGACAGGTAGGATGGATCCCAGGACAGCGTAGGTGATGCTTACTACTTCCTTATTAGCTCCTCCTTCCTCTCTGATCTCAGGGTTTTCATTAGCTTGTCAAACTCTCCACAAACATTTGCTGATTTCCAGCAGCCCTTTCTAGCCTCCAAAGTCGAGTATTAAGTGGGAACATTTAACATACTAAAATTCGCATGGGAATGTTGAGCCTGGTGCCAGAATCTGTCCAATACCCCTGAGGCCAGAGCTACTTCCACCCCTGAACCTAGTAATTCCAGTAGATTCAGAAAACAGAGCAGCTCTTTGTGACAAAACACTGACTACAATTCTCATAGGACACTGGGACTAGCTTCTTATTCTCTGTGCTTTAGTAATGCATCTAGATAACCTACAAATCTTCTACAGCCTAATAATAATGCAGATGACCCGTTACCCACACACAAACATACAGGTTTACAGCCAGTAGCTTGGTCTTAACTCTTGGAGCCCTAAAATTAAGCCTTTTCCCTTACTGCGAAAACATTTCTCTCCCAGGGCAGGCCAAGCACCTTGGCCTTATGGGAGGTGCTATGCTATTCAGCCCTGTCCCATTAGGCCCTGTTGGCCTCTGTTGTGTGTTGACTCAGGGAGCCAGAGCCAGATGTAGGTCGTACCTCTCAGCCCTTTTTGGGGTGTTACTATGAGGGCTGGGTTTGCCTCTGACAAGAGGACAATCAGTTCCAGAAAAAAACCTGGCATATATTGATTTGCTAGCAGGTAGATATTCTGATAGCTCAGACTGACCTGTAAAACCCAGATGCTGGTTCCAGAGCTCTGTCCTGAGAACACATCCTGTGGCAACAGGAAAACTGAGCATGTAACTTTTCTTTCTGGAAGTGGAGATCTCAGGCTGAGGCCAGAACCTTATGAGCACAGCTGTGCTGATTATTCGATGTAACATGAATTCAGAATCTGCATTTTAAGGTTCCTTCTGATTCTAGTGGAGGCCTCTGGATGTTCTTCAGGTCTGTATTTTGAGGCTCAGAAAATATATCATGATTCTGTTGTTGCTTCTCAGTCTCTCCCCCTAACCCCTACCCCCACCATTTTGTATCATTCCAGAGTTCTTTTCTATTGGCCAAACTTTGTAGTCCCTTTATTCTCTTCCCTGGTAATTATTTGCTTATTTGCTGGTTTCCTTATGTTTGGGACATAACAGATTGAAGGGGGAAATGTGTAGCTCTCCACTGAAAATTAACTCTCCATCCCTCCCATCCTAATAAAAAGGTTTACATTTACAAGATTCAGATGCAATTTTCAACTATTCTAAAACCAGCAGGACACACCTGACTTTAATAGTTTTCTTAGCTGAGATTGTAGATGTTTTTCTTCAGTTTAACTTAAAAGATGATAATGCATTTTGTGTTGAACTCCCCCTTTAGTGGTTTATTTTGTCTTTTTCTGCCCATCTGTCTACTAATAAAATGTGAAATAAAATATACCTGTATTGCTACTTCCCCATGGGTTGACCCTCTTCTTTTTTTTCTGTGTTAAAGAAAACTAATAATCTCAGTATTTCCACTGTCTCCTTGCAGATTATGCCCAGGACTCGGCTGAAAAATTAGAACAAACAAAACCCAAACCTTGCTGACCTGCTTTTTACACCATTCTGCTCAGCTCACTTCCTTGCAGAATAAACATCCTCAATCTTACCAGCTTCTAAGAGACGCTATTAAAGACACAGCCATTTGTTAACCTTCATTCTGAAGTAGAGCACAATCGGCCAATACAAGTAGGTCAGTGTGAGGACAGAGGGATGTTCCAGTGCCTGCCTTAGGCAAGCATTTTGTTTTGTTACCTGTCTTCCAAACTTTCTGCTGCTATAGCAGATAGCAGGTAATGGCTCACATAATTTAATAAAAGTCTGTATTTAACCCCAATTGTGGACACTTAGCTTTTTACTAGTAGGATCCCAAACTGGGTTTCATACATCTGATGAAATGACTACTGATCTTAGATGCCAAAAGCAAAAAAGGTAAACACTGCTCCTGGGCTGGTCCTGGCACTATCACAACCAATCCTGAAGCAACACAGTTTGTTTGCTGATTCACTCTGAAGGGTTTATTTAGGTGAGAGACCGCGCCTTGGTCAACACCTGTAGGCCGTATAGTACATACCAGGTTGGGAAACCGTTGTGCCACAAGAGAAGTAGGGAGACCTGCCTCACACACACACACACACACACAGTAGGCCGTATAGTACATACCAGGTTGGAAAACCGTTGTGACACACACACACACTAGGCCGTATAGTACATACCAGGTTGGAAAACCGTTGTGACACACACACACACACACACACACGTTGGAAAACCGTTGTGACACACACACACACACACACACACGTTGGAAAACCGTTGTGACACACACACACACACACACACTAGGCCGTATAGTACATACCAGGTTGGAAAACCGTTGTGACACACACACACACTAGGCCGTATAGTACATACCAGGTTGGAAAACCGTTGTGACACACACACACACACACACAGCAGGAGTAAGGAGCTGGACTGGACTCCCAATCCCATGTGAATGGTTGCTTGAAACTTTGTGGAGCAATGTGCCCCAGGACCCACTTCCCTACTTCACAACCGCCCTAACTCACTGGCCATTTATCCCACCACAGCCTTTGACTATCAGTCTTGAGAGTGTATTTGGCTGATGAAGAACAAAGGAGAGGTTTAGCTGTTCAAATTTCTTCGCCCTCAGGCCTAGAGCTATGTTCTTAGTTCCTACTTTGCTCCAGATTTTAAAGTCAGCTGACAGGTGGAAAAGAAACCACCCTGCCCTCGTATTCCTGTTGACCAAGAAAGACTGCCTTATTTCCTCTGTATGGAGTTGTCAGAAAAACAGCTTTGATACACACTGACCTTGCTCTGTGGCGAGGGATTGTCTCCAGCCACATCATTTACCTTTTCATCCCCTGTGTGCTGACTGGGGCCAAGCAAAGAAAGGAACACGATTTAAGCCCACACAGCCACTGTCAGCAGTGTGACCACGTGAGAGCTGCTTCAACTCTAGGAAGTCCAGGGTGCCTGGAATGATAACGAAGACAGCTACTGCCCTGAGCTATCCCTTCTTCATCACAACACTCAAGACCGTGCATGCTCTCAGAACTTTATTAGGTGGAGTTTGGGCTAAAAAGAAAACCCCTGAAACAGATGCCCACCTGGTTCAGGACAACTGGAGGAGAGTCTTTGCTTGGAGATGTGCTCTCATTGAGATGACAACATATCTTTGATTCTCTTTTTTTAAGGAGAGCCAACTGGCTGAACATCTCTCAGTGCAAATTCAGATTATTTTAAAAAGTCAGCCAGAGGAAGGCATGTCTCTGGGGACTAGACCAGAAGCAGAAGCCCCTGCTCCATGTGAAGACAGACAGGTGCCACTTTCATGTGGGTGGGGGTGGGGTGGGCTTATCTCTGCTATTCCCAGATCAAGATTTGGCAGGAGGAGAACATGAAGAAGGTCCAGTTTCAAAAAAAGAAGGGTAAAGTAGTTACAGGGAAGTAAACTCAAATAACGGTTTACAAAAGACTTGAGATAAGTCGTGATTCTTCATTGGTATCTGACCCCAATACCTAGACTGTCTTAAGCCAGCCCTTCCAGACACTGCCCCCAGCAGCCTCTTGGCCAGTGTGTGCGGGGTGGGGGGCTGCACAGAAAGCCTGGAGGCCAGTCAGGAGGGGGGCTTATTTTGCTACAGCAAGAAAGGGCTTGAGTGAGGAGAGCAGACCTAAGAGTAGCAGCTGCGCCCCACTTCCCCAAGATTTCCACCACATTTACAAATACATACATAAATACATTACATACAATGCAAGTCTGGGAGGCAGGCTCCCCATTAGAGGCTCGGATGACACAGTTACATGTCTCAGGTATTCTAGAAAAGGTGCTGGGCTCCAGAAATGGGATCCATGTGTTTGCTTCTGCCCAGGCTAGTCAGTCCTGCCCCTGCCCACCCCTCTTCTGGGTTCAGTTTGTCCAGTATGGAGAGCTGCCATAGGCTGGTTTGGAGGCTTGCGACTTGGGCTGCAGGGAGCTGGGCTGGCTGCGCTGACCCGAGCCACTCTGGTGGGGAGGAGAGAAGGCTGTCAAGGCTGTAGCAGAACCCCCAATGCAGGGCAGGGTGGCTGCCTCCCTCTCTGTCCTCACCTGGGCATCCTGTGGAAGGTGGTGGTGTAACAGCTGTGAGTGAGGCTGCTGGTGGGCAGGCAGGATGTGCAAAAACGGTGGGGGTGCATAACCTGGCGCTGCTCCAGGAGCCAGGGGGCCAGTGGAGCCCAAGGCCGAAGGCAGGCTGAATGGTGGAGGAGTCCCTGCGTGAAATGCCTGCTTGTCAAAAGTCTGCAGGGTAAAGAGACAAGGGTGAGGGCCAGACAACAGTGAGGACTGCACACCCCCCAGCCTCCCACCCGCCTTGTCTTCCCCGCACCTGAGTTGTCTTGTAGATAGAACCAGTCATGTCAGGTAGGCCAGCGGCGCTTGAAGACACGGACACTCCTAGGAGGCAAAGTGGTTGTTTCCACGGCAGCGGGGCCCAGCTCCAGCCTCCCCCGCCTCCAAGGACACTGGGGTAGCCTTGCTGCGAGAGACTCGGGGTGACACACAGTTACACTGGGCCTCGATCCTGGCAGGTAGAGGGGAGCGGGGAGACGCTACCTTTGCCAGGCCCAGAACCTGCAGACTTGTTTTGTGCTTGCGAAGACCCGCTGTAGCCGCCCTTGGTATAGTCTCCCGCTGCCGTCCCCTGGGTCAGGTCATCATAACCTAGTGTGGTGGGGGACAAGAGGCAGCATGAGCTAGTCATGCCTTTCCTGGCCACCCCTCTGCACGCTGGGGGCACCCCTCACCAGTGCTGTAGCCATGCTGCCCGTAACCGCCGGCCTGCTGGAAAGGGGCAGGGGGCACGCTGAGGTTCACTCCGTGCTGCTTGGCTGAGGCTGGAGGGACCTGTAGGGCCAGTGGGACAGGCATTAGTGGAGGAGCAGAGCTGGGGAGCAGGTCAGGTATCCCTGGCTTAGCCTCAAGCAGCAGGTGGTACAACCATAAGGGACCTGTGTTCATTAGTGCAACACATGCTGGAGTTTTTAAAAAAGCAATGGGAAAGTAACCTTGCCCCCAGCCTCACACACTCCTGAAGGCCAGGTGAGCCTGAGTGGGCCATGTCCCTGCCCCCCTGCTGCTACCTCCTGGAGCTGGAAGAACTCCCCCGCAAAATACTCACAAACACGGTGGGCCCATATTGGAAGGCACTGGGCACGCCTGTGTAGTATGGGAGGCCAGTATAGCTGTAGCCAGGTGGGAGCGCAGGATTCAGAAAGGGCTGCTGGGCTGTGTGATGGGCCTGGGACTGGCTCTGCTGTGGCTGAGCCAGTGTGGTGGTGGGCGCAGGGGATGCAGAATCACCTCGGCCAAACTTTGTGACATCACCTAGAAGGGGAGCACTGACTCCAGGCACTGCCTCTTCTCCCCCCAGGAAAAATGCCAGACTGGCTCTGGCAACCAGAACAGGTCTGGCTGCCAGCTCAACAATGGGAAGCCAGCCTGCCTCTCTCAGCCCTTTTGCTCCTGTTTCGACTCCTGGGATTTGCTACAGGCTAGTCCCACGCCACCCCACTCCTCACCCCAAGCAGACTCACCTGAATATGGGTTATTAGCTAGGCTCCCATCTCGGCTGGCAAGGGCTGTGGGCGTAGCAAAGGGGATTCCATAGTAATCCTAGGGGAGACCAGGGAGGCTCAGTCAGCCAGGCGGCCTCACCTACTCCCATAACGAGGGCAGCACGGGCGCTCCAGGCAGTGCCACCCCCTGGGACCAGCTGGCCTGAGGAGACAGCAGGTGCATACCTCCAGAGGGTAGCACTCAGGGAAAAGTCAAAGTAAATGGTGCCCAGTGGATGCAGCAATGTGGCATTCATTCCTCAGCCTCACACAGACGGACAGCAGTAAATGCCACAGGCTGAACCAACTGTACTGGCTGTTTCTATGTGAGAGGCTCTGAAGAACAACTAGGTAAGTTGACTGGATGCTGGAAACCTAAAAAGGAGCCAGCAGGACAGGAAGTACCTAAAGGGTTTAACAGGTCAGGGTAGACCTCAGCACCATCTCTGTCCTGGCAGCATGGCCACTGCAGCAGAGCTGGCGCAGGAGGGGAAGCCAACAGGGCAACTCACAGTGGAGCTCTGTGGAGAAGTGGAGGCCTGCCCAGCCTGGCCCTGCCACCCAGGGCTCTGCACCCTGGCCTCTGAGACAAAGGAAAGCCCCTGCTTTCCTCATGGGCAACACACAGCCCGACAGGAGCCATCCTTGTAAGGAATTCAGCCTCCTTCAGCTTCTGCAGGTTAACCTCTGGGAAACTCACAGCACCGTCAGCCAGAACCCCAGGAGGTGGCAGGACTAGGAAAGCAGAGCCAAGAAAAACACACCAGGGACAGGCCTGGCCTACCGAAAGCCTAGGAGGGGAGCGCTTTCACAGGAAAGCTGGAACTAGGTACAAAAGTAGCAAGCTAATAAATGGCCAAAGGGGAAAATGGAAGCAATGTACCTCAAAAGGTAGGCTCAGAGATTACTTCCTCCAACGCACAAAATGATAAAAGGTGTATGAGGCAGGATGACTCCCAGGGCCAGGATCCCAACAAGATACTCCTGGGACCCACCCAGAACACAGGAGCAGACTCCCTCGGGGCCACCTCCTGCGCTCCATCTCAGATGCCCAGGGCTCCTGGACCAGGTGGCTACAAGGTGACTGGGATTGGGGGTGGGGCCGGGGGGGGGGCACTCACAGTGCTACTTCCAGTTCCCCCAAAGCCAGAAGGCTCAGGTATCCCCAGAGAACTAATGTCCACAGCTCTAGAAATTTGTTATCATGTCTTCAACATCCTTTCTGGGCCCACTGGGGACACAGGTAGCAGCTAGATGGTCCAGCAGGCCTTTGGGCAGCAGGGGGATGGGCTGCTGCTCTGCACAGAGAGAGCGAGCCACCCAGGTACCAGCCTCTGCCTCAGAAATACCTCAGCAGACTGAGAAGAAATCTCCTGATCTGAGAGACAAGAGCTACAGCCACTGGGCCTGGGAAGTGGGGTGATGCCTGCAGCTTCCTCAGCTCTTTGTGGCAGAGGAAGCAACGGCCATGGGGAGGAGTCTGAGGAGAGACACCCACTGGAGAGAGCACCTCTTCTTTAGGGAATAAGGAAGAACACATCCAGTGGAGGGGACACTGCTGTCCAAAGAGTTTTTTACTCCCCAACACAGTGAACGATGTCCTGGGCTGCTGAAAAGGATCCAGAGTCTTGGAATTACCGGACTGAGGCGGCGGCGGCGCCATCAGGAAGGGAGCATGCCTCCAGCAGCCCTCCTGTGGCTGTTCATGGGGTCATCCCAGGGAAGGCCCAGGGCCTCCCTCAGGGAGCAACGGTCAGGATAAAGGGCAGTCCTGGCCTCAGAGTGAGACCAAGACCCTGAGGCCTTGCAAACAAGTGAGGTCAGGCCAGACCCAGAAGGGGAGTTCAATGCTGTCAGCACAAACACCACCCATGGCCACTTCACAGGGAGAAGACACTGAACGGCACTTTGAAGGCAAAAACTATGAAAACTCCAGGGGCAGTCAAGCAACCCTGTATCTTATGTCACACGGTCTTTTTTTTTTCTTTTAAACAAAGGAGTGCAGCTGCAGGAAAAGAAGGACCCACATTTAGTAGGAGGCAGCCCTCTTGGGTTCTATATCCTAAGGGTCTTTAGGTAGCCCAGGGATGAGCACAGGACACTCCATGTGCCCAAGCACACCACAAATAAGCACAAAACAGAAGCAGCTTTCTCAGCTGCCATGCTGAGGGAGATCATTGGGCCAAGTGTTCTTAAGGCCACGCAGGGTGGCAACCAAGACTAAGGGAGGAGGGACATGTCAACGAGCCTGAATCCCCTCCCACCACATCCCACTCACCACTGGCAGCCGTGACTGCAGCATCTGGAGCTCGTCATAGCCATAGATCTGCATGAGGGCCAAACAGGGTGTTAGGGACCCCACACCATCCCCCGGGGAGCCCAGGCCCATGTCAGGGTCCCAAAACAAAGTTAGAGAAAAAAGACACAGGCAGGAAGGGGACCTGGGTCAGCTGCCCTGATGGAGCCTAGATGGGGTTGAAACACCAGGGTGCAAGTGGCAGAGGCAGGCTCAGGCAAGGGGCAGCAGCACCTGGGGGCCACCTCGCCAGACCCTGCCAGGTGGGCAGGGGCCCCGCCATGTGCTCACCGGGTAGGCAGGCAGCAGTCCGCCAGGCCCCACGAGGTACTGGCTGTGCAGCAGTGGAGGCACCCCCTGGGGCAGGTTAGGGGGAGCTTTGCCTGGAAAGGTACAAATCAAACAGAGTTGAATCAACACTGCAAAGGAGATGCCTCAGCTACTACAGTGGGAGACAGTGCTGTTGAGCTCACTGTCACAGGGCTGCCCCAGATAGGGCCATGGCCAAGAAGGGAGGGCAACAGCTCAGACACAGAGGGCCACATCAGGAGGTGAGGAAGACAGAAAGCATGTGTCACCACTTTCAGGCTGTTTCTACGTCAGAGGGGTCTATGGCCAGACAGAAGAAACAGCGCCCCCTGTCCACTCCTGGTCACACTGCATTGCGCAAACTTGAACCAAAGGAACATCTGCCTCCTCAGGACAAAAGAAAGGTCTGGTAGGGCCAGGAGAGGGGTAGGCTTTTAGTAGTTTCTACCAAGCCAGTTTGCTTGGCCCACACAGAGTGCCCAGGTCTGGCTGATGGGTAATCAGCCACACAAAGTGGCCAAAAGGAGCCCACACCAGCTGCTCTTCGGCCCCTCCATGTCACTATGTCATCTCAGCTCCAGAGATGAATGAAGACTGAAAAGATTAGGGAGCTGGGAGCACAAAGGCTGTGGGAATCCTGCTGGAAGGGAGCCTACCCAGACACCAACTCACACCCATCCCCACCCTCGGCACTCGGAAGGTCAGTGCAACAAAGAGCACAAGTGTGCAATGCTGGCTGGGGCTGCAGGGAGACAAGGGTCTTCTGAGGAGCGTGGCTGCCCCCCCACCCCCATGCCCTGCAGCCTCTTCTGGGCACTCTTCCTGGGAAGCCAGGCATGCACCCGAGGGGCTGGCGGGGAGCAGGAAGGTCTCCGGGGCACACACCTGAGGTCGCCAAGGGCATGGCCCTGCTACTGCTGCTGGGGGCACTCGCAGCGGTCCCCCCCAGGCAGAGGCTGGTCGCTGTGTTCATGCTGCTTGGCAGGCTGAGCCCTGAGGACGTGGCACTCGAGGCAGAAGCTGCTGCTGCTGAGAAGGGAGCTGAGGACTGGAGGGAAGTGGTGCCCTCCACACTGGCATGCTGGCAAAACAAAAAAGCCACGACACATGGACGTGGGGCAAAAGCATGAGTACAAATCTCCCTGGCCTGGCACCAGGGCCTGTGGCTCAGGACTGCTGTGAGGGGTTCTGGGCCTAATGTCAGCCCCTCACACTGAAGGCCAGCAGGACCCAACTCATCAGCTCAGTATCAAGACCACCAAAATGCAGCTTTATGACCAAAACCTTCCCCCAAATCCTTACAGTTGCTCATGCTTTGGTGACTAAAAAAGGCACAGAAACCTAACTAATGAGCTCAGACCATCTGAGCTGAGGCAGGTGCCTGCCTCACAGAGAGCAAGCAGGCTCAGAAGGGCTGACTGTGGAGCCTGATCAGCCTAGCCCAGCCCAAGTCAGAGCTTTCTGGGCTTCTTAGTTACTAGGATTTGAAGTCACAGCTGGCCAAGAGACACTCTGCTCCAGAACCTTTCCAAGGCCTACAGATGTCTGCTCAACAAGATCCACCAGGCCCAGACAATGGTGGGGAGAACCACCAGAAGGAGGGCCGGGCCGGGCCCAGGGGGTGGGTGGAAGAGATACATCAGGTTGGGCAAAGCAAGGCCTGAAGAGGGAGGCAGACAGACCAGCCTTCAAAACAGAATGTGTGCATAACAAAGAAGCCTGGAAACACATGGTGGAACTGAGGAACGGAAGGCCCCGGCAGAAAGGGGGCTGCCATATGTCCTGCCTGCCGTGCAGCGCAGACAGCCTCCGCGGTCCAGCCCCACAAGCTGTCCCACCCATCTGAGCCCTGGTCATGGGCCCTGACTTTCCAGAATCAGGCCAGCAAGGTGAAGACAGCTTAAATCATGGTCTCCCGGGGCCTCCTGCTCCTTCCGCCTAGATGGGTGGATCTGAGTGAGGCAAGCCCCCGGGCAGGGTAATGGTCACACTGGCACCATAGTCCTTGACCCAGAGCCAGGCTGACCACCCAAAACCACCTACCACTTAACAGGCAACAACTCTGATCACTGCACCAAGGTGCTGCTGCTCACAGAACCTTTCAACCCTATTAAACACGGGACAAAAAAATTCATCCGCTTGTCTGGAGAGTAGCAGAATCCACCAAAGAGCAGCTTGCAGTCCTGGTTCCTGACTTGCTGGAAGAACTTAGTCATCCAGCAAGCCTCTCCTACCTCCGGCTGACTCTGTCTCTTCCCTCACCTCCCAAATCTGTGAGGGTGACAAGGGGCTGGTGTAACTGGCCTCTGTCCTCAAGATGGTTCACTCAGTCTATCCAGTGGGGCTATGCAGTCAGCTCTTCAGGATGGGCCCAGAAATGCACAGCCGCATCAGCCCGTACACAGGGACACAAGGGCAGGAAACAGCACTGAGATTTCCTTCATAACCTTGGAGTGGGAAGGCTGAACCATGACAGAATAGGAAAAGAAGATTACTGATTATCTATGTGAAAATCAAAAATAAAACAACAAAGCTAGGAAAGATATCTGCACATCACAAAGGGTATTTTCCTAAGTCTCTCAAATACAGGTGCATAGAAATAGACACCAAGGACCTGACAGCAAAATAAACAAGCAATATAAATAGCTTGCCAAAAAGAAATACAATGGCTTTCCAATATATAAAAAAGATGTTCAACCTCATTCAATTAAACACTACACTGACAGGTCATTTTTCTATTAACACACTGGAAAAATACAAATATTCAATTAACATGATTTCAGGAGGCAGTGGAAGATAGGACATTTCATTCACTGCCAGCGGGAGGTAAATAGGTTAAAATCACCATGCAGAGCAATTTGGCAATTTATATAAAATGACAAATGGCTAGCGATTCTACGTCCAGGATACACCCTCTAGACACAGCTGCACCCATGGGCACACACAGGAGGTCACTGAGTATGATGCTGTTTACAGTACCCAGACTGGAAATGGCTCTGGAGTTCCAGTGGTGGAGGACTGACTGTAATGTAATGAAGCCAGGAAAAAAGAACAAAAGAATTCTATGTTTCAAGATAGAAACATTTCAAAGATACACTGATAAGTGGGGGGAAACATTAAAAGACACTATGTATGAATACTCCCTTTTATAACAGGAAAAAAAATTTTAAGGTAGGTGGGGAAGGGGGAGGCCAGAGGAAAAATGACTGTGTATGTATTTTCTATTTTATGAGTTTAAAAAAACTTTAGAGGATCAAGAAAACAGAATCAAACAGATGAAACAGAAAAACCTTAGCATTTATCTTTTTGTATATTTCATTGTTGAACCTTTTAACTACATCAGCAATGTGGCGATTCTATCATACACACAGGGCACAGGACCCGCTGGACTAGGCGATTCTAGCTGCGTTCTCTGGACTGTATGATTTGGAGTTTCCTGCCAAGACCCAGAGTGCTGCTAACCCATGCAAGCAGGGGCGCTGGGTTCCAATGTGCCCTTGTCAGGAACAGCTGGCCAGTGAGCCGGTGTCCCCACCTGGGACGGCTCGTGGTTCTCCCTGGCCAAACGGAGAACACAGACACCACTGTGCTCTTCCACGGATGGTGGTCTGTGTATCTTATGACAAATAATTATGCGTAAGATTACACTTGGAAAACTAGTTTCAAAGCCAAATTAGTTCTGTGCAAATGGAAGCACAGAACTGACCTGACCCTTTTCCATCTCCTTATTCTGCAGATGACTTGATCTCTTCTTCAGAGGAAACCAATTTCCCCAACTTCCTGGCTCCCATACATGTGAACCCCAAACTTTCCTCTCTGCTAGAGGACCCATCGGTCCATCTCTCCAGAAGCCTATCTCCCAGAAAAGGGACATTCTGTTCCTTCCAGGCACCTTTCTTCCCACCGAAGCTTATACGAGAGCCTCCTAGAGCTTTGAGTGAAGCGCCCCCTCCACCCCACTAGCCTGCCTCCTCGCCATTTTCACCACCTGTCATTCTTCAACCCACTGAAACGATGCTCCCAACTTCATGCCTCTAAAAGCCACACTTCAATTACTGTTATGGTACTCTTTGGCACATGAGGACACTTGCCAGCTGGTACCCTGATTGCGCTTCCACCCCTGCCAGACTTCCTTGTTTCAATGTCAGCCTCCCCAGAGGCTCTGCCTCTGAGCTGGAGAAGATGGCCTGGGATGGCCTGAGGAAAGGGGGAACACAATACCTCCTGCCACAACTAGAAACGTCCCCAGAGCCACCAATGGACTGGAATGCAGTTACAATGACTGAGCTAAGAACCGGGGCTGTCAGTCTCAGAGCGAGACGTATGCATGAGCATGCGGAAAACAACATACTCCTCACAGAAGCTCTCCCTTCTCCCTCCCAGCATTCTCTCTTCCATGGCCTTCACAAACAGAAGGTTATCTAGGAACAATGCTCTTGATTCAACTTGACTTTTATTTAGTGGAGCCCAAGCTCAAGTTAGCAATAAGCCTACTCTTCTCTAAAAACCTTGGAAATACCTCAACAAACAAGCCCCAGAAAATAAAATATCCTCTGCTAACGTAGAAAGGTGTCCTGTAACGAAGAGGGAGCTCAGCAAATTCCTGGAAGAAATTCACCACCTGACAGCCCTGCAGATCGCAGATCAGGTCTAAAGAAGCCATGCCTCCACAGAGGTGTCAGTTCAGCAAGATCCCCACCCCCCAGCAAGGGGCCTAGGAAATCAACAGCTCAAGCCATATTCAGAAGATTGAGACGTTACAGTCATGCAATTTGAAATACTCTCAGATACTTCAAATGCGCAAACTAAGCCCCAGCTGCACACGATTAAGCTCCAAGCTGGCTGAGCAGGGAGGTGGGTGAGGAAGCCCAGAGACACTTACTGTGTGTGATGTGCTGGAGGGTGCTGGGTGCGCAGAGGAGAGACCACTTTGATGGGTGGGGAGCGAACTAGAAGACAAAACAGCACTGTGTGTCCATGCCAGCCAGTCACTCCATGGGAAAGGAGCCCACATGTCTAGGTGGACTAGATGTAAGCTTGCCCCATCCCTTCAACACCCATTGTTCCTTATCACCTTGCAACCCCCTCTAGGAGATCCGACGGTTAGCAATGATCTAAAGGGTCGCTCACTACGAGGATTTGGGACATCCTAGCCTGGGAAACCTCCAAAACCAGCGTATGTCAACTATAACCGTCTGCTCTTAATGTAAAAAGAACAGGATAGCACTAAGAAACTGCTACCCTTGGAGACCCCATTAAATCTATGTGTGAGGGAAGAAAGTTCCTATGTTCAACCCCACATGCCAGAGCCAGAGCTTCACTTCCCATCAAATCCAGAATTCTAATCAAATATTTTTGTTCCTGGCTAAAGAAGGGAAGAAGCAAACTCCACTAGAAAGATGTAGGGTCCTCACCAAATAAAACCCATTCTCCTACACACTGTTCTAGTAACTTCAGTTCTGAAGCCATGACCGAAGCAAGTCGAAGACCTGCTCAGAATGCCAGTGTCGTTCCCACTCCGCAGCAGTCACCTGGGCCCACAGCTGGAAGGCGAGGCTGGCTCAGGGGGACCCCGAGGGCTGAAGAAGAGTAGCAGCGACTCTCTGATCCGGGTCCGTTACTGGGGGCCCAGTGCTCTGGACCACAGCCATTACGAGCAGATGAGGTTTTCATGTACGGTGCCTCTGAGACCCCGCCCAGTTAAAACCTATGCCAGAGCATTTCTGCTGAGTCCAGGATGTTGTGCTGGTGGCAGCAAATGGGTTTTATTCATGGGAAAAGCCTTTACAGGTTGCAGGACTTCACTCCAGTGTGCCTCTCATTCTGGGCCCATACTTCCCCCATACCTGCTAAGCTGAGAGAGGGGGCTGTTGGACAGGTCACCAGGCTGGGACAAGGAGGGCAAAGTGGCAGTGTGCTGGGATGCAGAGGGCAGAAGCGTCGTGCAGGAGGTGGTGCTGGGCAGGGAGCCCACAGACGGGAGGGCGGAGGGAGAGTCTGCTGCCTTTGGAGCTGGAACGGATGAAGTAGCTGTAAGAAACAAATCTGTTTAGCTCCAGAACCAACTATGAGTATCTGAAATATGTTCAATGTCTTGTGACATGTTAGGCTTGGCTGAGACTATATATATATATATATATAAAGTTACATTCCCCAGGGAAAATGCCCAAGCATGTCGCCAGATAGTCCCTCCTCGGTCAGGTATGACTATCAAAAGGGCACAAGATGATCAGACACATGAGAATCAGGCAAAGATTAGGAAATCTTCTTTATCATAAAGTGTCCTATGATGAAGGCATATTTCTCCCAAGTAGAGTGACCTGACCTTGAGCTGCACCCAGAAAGAGCAAGAGGCTCTGAGTGATACAGGCTCAGAGATATTGTGGGTCTGTTTCCAGACCACCACAATGAAGTGAGATAAATGAATTTTTTGGCTTCCCACATATAGTGCATGTGAAAGCCATGTCTTACACTGTACTGTAGTCTATTAAGTATAAAACATCATTATGTCTAAAAAAAAATCTACAAACAGTATTTTAAAAATACTTGATTGTTCGAAAATGCTAGCCATCATCTGAGCTTTCAGTGAATTGTAAATATAAATCACAGATCACCGTAATAAATGAGAAAGTTTGAAATACTGAGAATCATGAAAATGTGACACAGAGACACAAAGTGAGCAAATGCTCTAAAAAAAATTGTGCCGACAGACTTGCTCCACACAGTGCTGCCAAAACTCTTCCATGTGGAGAAAACACAGTTAGTTATCTGTGAAGCACTAGGTATGACTGTTCATATGAGTATAATGTGATGCAAATTTTCCTCAAAAGGCACACAAGGGTCAGTGAAAGTCTGGTGAGTGAGACTGTCCAAACATTAGGTCTCCCCTTCTACCAAATCAGGGGAACCTGTGAACGCTCACAGCCTATGTAGGGCAGATAGGGGTTGGCAGCCAATGTGCATACACTATGGAGAGTTACACATGCCTAAAATCTGCAGAAAGATTTTTAAAAAAAGCTGTGTCCAACACCTACTATGAAATGCACAGTGAGCATTTCCTTAACATGTATTTGAAAAGAACAACATAAGCAAGCTTATCAATTCCAGCTGCAAAAAGACTCGGTCTTACTGCCATCCACACATACAACTCAGACATGTGCTTGTACAGAAAGCATCATTGTCTTTTCCAGTTAGGAAAAAGCAGCAACTTTTACCCTCCTGCAGGACTCCCTGGGAATTCAATGGAAAACACTCTAGTCTCTTAAAAAGAAGGACAATGAAAACAAACACTGGAAGCAATCAGGGTCATCAATTCTTAGTCTTTACATTCCTGAGGCTTGTGTTTTACTGACAATCTAGTCCAAATATGCCACCTGTTCTTACGGAGAAACCTGATGCAGCCACCACAGATGTCCCTGACTCAAAACAAGACCCCAAAAGTTACCTCCTGAGTCTTGAATTGCACTAGAAAGTTTCTAAAAGATCAAGTGTGAGCAAGAGAGCAAGCCAATGTATAGAGAAGGGAGAGAAAATCTACCTAAAATGCACACTACATTCCAGACATTTCTCATCTCATTATGTCATTTAAAAATCTCCAAATAATCCAGGACACCTCTACATGTTCTTGATCCCATGCCTGGACAAAAGAATGAGTAACTTCTCTGACACTTAAGGTTCTCAGAGCTACCAACGTTCTCCAAGCAGCTCTGGCAGCCCAGCAATGCCAAAGCAGCTCCAGGTGGATCACTTGTGTCGTTCCATGCCTTCATCCCACATCCCTACTCCAAAAAATCCAAAATTGAAAGAATCTTTCTGGCTTTCATACCCAATAGTGGATATACATTTGCCTTACTGAGTAATGGGAAAAAATCACCATAAACAATCCCACATCTCCTAGCCAAGAACAAAAGGAAGAAACAACATTCACCTGAACTATCTCCAGTGACCAATGAACATATCAGAATTAGGAAAAGGGTCCCCTTATTTTCTCCCAAGTGTTTACAATGAGCTCATTTAACCTCTCTTCCTTGCAACAGTCATCAGATCCTGAGGGCAATGAGCATGTCTTTCCTAAACTAGCACACCAATTTTTGCTTCAAAAGTCCTTTACCTTACTTGAGTGACAGCCCCTTGACCATCTTGGAACCTGTGCCTCTGAGCAAAGCACCTTTTAAATTCATACTATACACTGGGGTTGTAGTCTGAGGAAGAATAATACAAGACTTGTCACCTCCTTTTGCTATAACTATGACATTTCTAATAATAACACCAGCGACAACCTACTCACACAGGCATCTCTAGCTGAACTTCTAAACCCTGCCAAAAAAAACTACACCAACAATGGATCAGAAAGTAGCTGTCCAGAGAAAATGTAAAAGGTCTACTTTTGCAGAATTAGTCATTGGCATATTGTTTTCCCCATCACGTTAGCTATTCTCTTTTTCTTTGGCTTCTACCAGCCATAACAAGAACAGTTAGCCTATATACTTACTGTCTATTGTCTGCTGACTTTGACCGTCACCATGTCCATTCTATAAGGAAGAGAAAAGACGTAAGCAAACCCACAAAATCAAACAATAACCCAGAAGACTTTCTACTGGGATTTAGCCACAAACATACGACATATATCGATCAAGAAACAGTGGCTTGTTTTATTTTGTTTCTTAATAAAAGAGAGATGAAATACAACAAATCCTTAATAAATATCAAGGACATGACATTCTGAGAACCAGACTAGGTACTTAAGGAAGTAGTAAAGAAACAACCTAAGACCGAAATCACAGGAAGAAATGATAAACAGCCCTAAAAATTATTAAGCAACACAACGAATTTAGGAATTCTCATTATCCTGCATTTATCACAAGCATTTCTGGCTCGTACATGTTTTATCTCTTGAGTACCACTCATGCAAGAAAGAAAATATTTCCAAATTGTAACATTTATCCAGAGAAACATGTTTTCTCAAACATACAAGGAATTATATTTTATGTTACTCCAAAAAATGGTTCTAAGAAAAAGAGATGTTACTTTGAAATGTGGCTTTTCTGAACTGTGTGAGTTAAGAGTGGGTTATGACAGGGTGGTAGTACCAGAAAAAAGCAGAATGTGAAAACAACTGGTTTGAGTTAACCATAAGGCATTTCACTGGTACAGAGGAGGCGGCATTCTCACAAGGACAACTCAGCTTCCGCAAGCTGAGTGGGGGACACGGGATAGAGTAAATGACAGTGGAGCCTACAGGGCTAAGTAAGATACTTTCCCTAGATGGAAGAAGGAAGCTAACAAATTTCCTTCTTAAAAATATCAAAACTCCTATAGAAAAAGATACACCTTATAGAGTTGTTGCCTCTAACTTAACCCAAATCCAGTATAATTTCTGTTCATAAAATGTGTTATTTACAACACATTTCATTCTTAAAACAATTTGAGTTATTGACAAGAAATGTAGACAATAAAACAGAACTGCTATAAAAAAATGAGTTTCAAGAAGATTAAAATCAAATAAAGGGAAACATAATATACTTTACCAATATATAAAGGTGGGTGGGGAGCAATCAAAGCCCTCCTCTTTTGTCTCCCTTTAAACTAGGGTTCACTACTCACAAAACATAAACACCTGACATTGAACATGTGCATCCTAAACAGCACAAACCCAGACATACAAATAAGTCTAAAAAATGCACCAGACAAAAAGAAAGGGAAAACAGGAAAAGGCAGCCATCAGGCCTTAAGATTATTTCATTCCACTTGAAAATGATTTTTTAAATGAAACAGTGGTCACACTGACACAATGCAGGAGGCCACATTATTTGAGGTGGAGAAATGCTAGGCAGAAGAATGGTGGGAACAAAAGTAGAAAGTATCAAATGGTCAGGAGAGACCAGAAACCTGGCAAAAGAATGATGTGAGCTGTAATATGGGAAGCCAAACAAGAGGTACAGCTAGCTGTAGTTGAGAAGTGATGAAAATGGCAGGGATTTAAGCTTGAATAGTACATAATCTGATTTCTATTTTAGAAGCTATAGACCAGAACTGTCAAACAGAACATTCTGCAATACTGGAAATACTCTGGTATGTGCATGGTCCTGTACTTTAGCCACAAAACATACCAAGTTCAACAATAAAGGCCCGAAGGGAGTTCCCCAAGGTGTCCGCACTCCCACCCAGACAGCCTGCCCGTGCTGTCCCAGATCAATGTCCATCTTCAAGAAACCACCCACCACAAGCCAGAGTCCTTAGTTAACCTTTTTCTTTTTTCTTTTGTTATCATTGATCTACAATGACATCCCTTAGTTAACCTTTTAGTGTCAAGTAGGCAGCCTAGAATCACTAGACAGCTGCGGTAAACATCTATCATAAAATATACAAAAGGAAGGGAGGGGGGAAAAAAACATCTTCAGTTTAAATGTACCAACAAGTATCTCCTGATAATCTTAGAAGGAAAGTTAAGAAAATGTACCCAAATTTCTGCTGGAAAACTCAATTCAACTGTTTTTATTATTGTCATGTTCTCACCTGCTCTTTGAAGTTTCTCTCACTAATAATGCTTGAACAGCTTTGCCTTACAGGAAACTAAAATATTATAGAGAAGACTACAGTCCTCCTACCCCATCTGTACTCCTGTGAACAGTCTGGGACGTATCCTTACATAGTCTTAATACTAAGCTTCTGGGTCTACCCATGTGCTCCTCCTCTGCACAGTTACTTGAAATGTGGGTTTCAAACAAGATGCCCACTGCTGGCAAATTCAACGACCTACAAGGATTCCACTGAAAAGGCTAGACAATGTCTGAAAGAAAATTTCACCAAAAAGCTTTATTTCCCAAACTATACACTGCGCCCTAGATAGTATCTGATACAAGAAACCTGGAAGACCCCTTACCATGACAGTTCCTGGAGCTGACTCAGACGGACTCACAGAGCTTTGGTAGGCAATCCTGCGGTGCAGAGAACTCTGGTCATAGGAAGACGTAGTCACTGGACTGGTGGAGCTCAGTGATGATTCGGTCAGACTGGAGGAGGTGACAGCTGACACTGTATAGGTGGAGTTCTGCACTGCACTAGTTATTGGTAGAGAGGTTTTCAAAGAATCACTACAAAGAATAAAAGGCACCAAGCATAAATTTGTCACTTTACATGGCTTCAGAGAGAACTATTTCATCACTTTGTCATATTCTAAATTAAATAAATACGCCTGTAACTACAAATGTACACTACTGCATTCTTTAAATGTACTAATGAGGCAAATAAAGATTCAAAACAACCCCCTTCCCCAAATGTGACCCACCTAATTTAATTGACAGGCAGGACACATCTTTAAGAATTCTTAAGAATCTTTAAGGAAACCAGATGTTGAGACCATCTTTAGAAAGACAACCCAAGCAAATATCATGTTTCAGCTCAAGCAAATGGAGAAATTTAACTAACAAAATAGAATCTAGAATCTGGGACTCTATACTTAAGAAATAGTCCATTGAAGGAAAATAAGCATTGGCAAAGATGTGCAGAAACTACATCCTTCATAGAGTATAAGCAGATTTAAAATGCAATAGCCACTGTTGGATGGTTCTTCAAATGAGTAACTGTAAGAGTTAATATGACTGTTAACGCCTAGGTATTAAGCTGGCACTTGAACAACACAGGGGTTAGGGCTTGAATAGTACATAAACCCTGAGCAGTCAAAAACCCACAGATAACTTCTCATTCCCACTAATTACTAATAGCCTACTCTGACTGGAAGACTTATGGATAACGATCAATTAACACATATTTTGTATGTTATATGTATTATATACTGTGTTCATACAAGAAAGTAAACTAAAGAAAATGTTTCAAATTCTTGCAAATGTCCAAAAATTTTTCCAACATATTTACTGAAAAAAAACTCTGAATGTAAATGGATCCACACAGTTCAAACCCATGTTGTCTGAGGGTCAACTATATATCCAGAACTGTAAGCACACAAAATTTATAAATGAATGTTCACAGCAGCATGATTCCCAGTAGCCAAAAAATGGGAATAGCCCAAATGTCCATCAATTAATGAATGTGTAAACAAAATGTGGAAAATCTGAAGTGAAATATTATTCTGAAAATAACTGCATACATGCTACAACATCAATAAACCTTGAAAACACTATACAAAGTGAAAGAAGCCAGACACAAAAGGCTACTACATATTGCATGACTCTAGTTGTATAAAATGTCCGAAAAAGGCAAATCCACAGATAGATTATTGGTTGCCAGGGGATGAACAGAGGGACATTGGGAGTGCCTGACAACAGGCATAGGGTTTCTTTTGAGTGTTGGAAGAAAAGTTCTAGAATTAGATAATGTGAATGGCTACCCAAACCCTTACCACAGGATACAGCATCTCCATCTCTATCAGGTTATTTGGTACACTCTATTTTGTTTTACTTTGCAAACAGAGGACTTAATTCAGTGATAACCAAGAGAGGTGGGAAGTTGAGTACCTTAAAGACTTCGAATACAAGTTGACGGGAATCTGGTTACTGTTTTCACTGCTTGTAGCTGGTCCAAATTCAGAGAGAGAAGGTTCCGATCCAAATTCCAAGGCGCCAAATTGAACATTTAACCCTGTGACATCTGCTGAACCAGGCATTTCCACTGCAGAAGCTGGGATCTGAAAAAGCAAAGCTGTAAGGTCAGAAACAGAGGCCAAGGGATTCCAAGACCCAAAGGCCTGTAACAGAACCAAAGGAGCACTAGGTTCTCAGGGCACTATTGTCAGGCCTTAAGAACAATGAGAAGCCAAAGGGAAAGAGAGGAATAGGATTTTTTTGAGAGAGAGAGAAGGGAACGGAGCAAAGAAAAATTTTAAAAAGTAACGGGAGAATGGTGTCACCCATTGCTTCTTAAGAGCAAAGAGGGTAAGGGGGCTGTGGTGGTAGATGACTGAAGGGGGACAGTGGGCCTCTGAAGAAAGCATTATCTGATCAAATCAGCACTCAACCTCTATTATATATACAAGAACAGATTTTCTGAGTAGATCCTGTCATTTTGATTAACAAAATCTCCACCACAAACCTATTAGCTCTAAATATTACACCAGTCACTCAGAAATGGCTGATTCCTCAAAGCAGTAAGCTATGTGCTTCAAAAATACCACATCACAGTTTCTGAGACTTACTAACCCAGCACTTCAGCTAAATGTTAAAATATATCCACTTTCCAGACTATGACTGCCCAGTGGGCACCTACCTTAGAAGCTGGAGGGATCCGCCGCTTAGGAAGCTTGATGTGTTTAGGCTGTGCTTGGTGGGCAGACACAGCAATGTTTTCGACAGTCATGCTGGGAAGCTGCAAAAGTTTGTTCACAGTGGAGGTGCTGTCTCTGGGTGCTGACTCTCTGAGTTTTACATGGGAAGGAAAGGACTCCAACCCAGGAGGAGGAACGGTGACTGCCTGCGTCTGGTGCTGCTGCCGCTGGCTCAGCTGGCTAAGAACTGGGGATGGTTCAGGCTGAGATTTGAAGTCTATGGAATGTGCAAGAGTGGGAGAGTAAAAAAAAGTAAGCATCAATTACTTAAGCACTCAGGCTTTGAGCTCGCTCTCCCACCATCGCTGATGGTGGAGGACTGTAGTCGGTAGTTTCTCACAACCATCTGCTAGCTGAACCACTTAAACGTTCTATGTCTGTATGTATAATGTATAATAACTGGTGTATGATAAATGGAAAAGGATGCCTGAATGGGTTTGTAGCTAATTTCTTATACAGAGAGAACAGTTTACGCTAAAGCACAGGAAGTGGTTAAGAAGAACACAGAGCTGCCATATACATCTGGCCTTTAGTTAACAGAGAATTTTATTTTTTGCCATATGGATTTTGTACCAAACTTTTGAAAATTATTTAATTTTTTAGTAAATAACAAATGTGACACTAGAAAATCCAAAAGGTACAAATACGCATATGATTGATACAAATCACCCTTCTACCCACCCATTCCCAAGTTCACTCTAGAGGCAGATACTATACCCAGTTTCATGAATATTTTCAAAAATACTGTTTCAATATACATACATACCCCCCCCCCACACACGTCTTGCTTTACCACAAACCATACAGTTTTCAGAGACTGTTCCACATTAATGTGTGAAGAGCTACTTCACTTTTGTGATTACACAGTAATCCAGTACACACAAGTACCAAATTTTAAAGCCAGTACTATGCTAATGGACTCTTGCTATGAAAACTCTATCAATGTAGCATTGTGTTTCTGTGAGACATTTTGCTCAAATGCAAATATACCTGCAGGATCAATTACTAGAACATTTACTGATCGAAAGAGTAACTGTATTTTAACTTGTGTCAAACACTTCAAAATTCCTATCCCTAGTTAGAACACATGCTTTTTCACATACTGTAATACCAAACTTCTATTCTTCCTAGTTTGAATGGTAGAAAATTGCATATAAGGTACCTATTAAAATGAAAGTTAAGCATTGTTTCATATATTTAAGTATTCATTGCCAATAAACTCTGAGCATACCTCTCTGACCATATTTTTACTTAATTGTTGGTCTCCTTGAGTTTTAGTTGCTCTTTTTATATTAAGGAAGTTAGCCCTCTGTCTACGGTATGATTTTCAAATATCTTTTCATATTTTCTTCTCCCTTTTGATTAGTGTTTTGTGTCATATCTAAGAAAGTTCACCTCACACAAAGCATATCACAATCTTCCTATGTTTTCTAGTATACTAAATTCACTATTTATGTTTAAATATTTGACCCATTTGGCATGTTAGTGCAACGTGGGAGAGTTAGGGATCCAGCTTCATTTTCCAGCCAGATATCCAGTAACAATAAACCACCTTTTCACCACTGATTTGAAATGCTACCTCTATCATATAGAACAGAGGTTGGCAATCTTTATCTTTCAAAGAACTCAGTAAATGTTTCAGGCTTTTAAAGCCATCTGTTAGCAGCTACTCAACTCTGCCTTCACAGATGGACATAAATAAAAGATTGTGGTTATGTTCCAATAAAATTTTATTTATAAAAATGGGTGGCAAACCTAGTTGAAAGTTTGCCAGTCCGTGACGACTTCAGATTTCCATCTTCAATGCAATATATTCTTGGACCTGGTATTAGAGGTATGTACAAAGAAGACAGGCTTTATCAAGAATCTCGGAAGAGCATGCTCAAATCTCGTCACCCTTATCACATGTGTTAACACAGTTAACACAGCTGGCCTATAGGTACCATCAGAAATTATGGCTTTTGCAAGATCAGCTCTTGACTCAAGTGTGGGAACATGGAATTTTGGTATATTCTAGACAAAGGATGCCAACACTCGGATAAAAGTTATTCTCCGAGCCTCGAGTGCTTGTACAATGTGGTTAATGTTGAATACTTGCTTTCCCTCTGGGAATCTGGAATAGTGACGTGTACTAGGCAAATGATGCCTATGTAACCAGGCCCCTAATAATAAAAACCATGGACACTGATTCTATAATGAATTTTCTTGTTAGATATCACTTCAAACATGAGAGCAGTCCCAAGTACTTCCATAATAATAAGCCACTTCATTCAGCAGAGAAATATGCTTCCATAGAAATATGCCCAAAACCAAGCAGCTCAACCCTATGGTTAAAATAACCCCGTTAGTGCTTAAAACAGTGAGGCATTTGTGTGTTGGTGGGAAATAGTGGTTTAATGCCCCAAAGTCTATGGGAGTGTAGTTTAGAACACATCTGACTTACACATGATACCCTTTTTATATTATAAACCACGGGCGGTAAGTCTGGCCCAAATCATGGTGGATATATGCAAATGTCAGAGTAAGAAAGCGACAAAAGGATGTGATTTGAAATGTCCACAAACCATGTTCTGTTACCAAGCTATTCTAATAGAGTTCAGAAAATGCTGTCTAGGCATTTTCTCCAAGCGTTGTTTCCTTCTGGCTTTCCCATGCTTTTGCACATCTCTTCAATGTGTAAGCACTACTACAACTATTACTATTAACACATAAATACAGAGCAGACTGACTTAATTCAGAAACCCCACAGAAATTCTACTAAAAATAAACATCTGGATAAATTCCTCATTAGTGTTCACAAATCAGCATGCTCTGCTACTGTTTTACATGTCCTTACTAGGGGCAAACACTACAGAAAAATGTACTTACCAAAATGACTAAGGACTGAGGATTGGGATGCTGGGGGCTTGAGGTCCCAAGAAGAAGTGGTTGTGGGGAGACTTGCACTATTCTGCTGTGAACTTGAACTAGAAGTAAACTGGCCCAAACTTGGAGCTTTCAACTGATCCAAAATCTGGGAGCTGGTGGTGTTTACCATTTTTGAAGGTGCAAGCTCTCCAAATCCTGAACCAACGACGGATGACTTTAAAGGAAAAGAAAAGCAAAACTCCTCAGCAGTACAAGAATCACTACCTTAGGCTTTAAAACATACCACCTATTTTCAAATGGCTTTTTAAAACTATAACCTAGAATATCTGAATTAATAAGACTCATCTGAGTGAATGCTACATGAAAATATGACTATGCAACAAGACCTAAGTTCAGCAATCCTTACTTATTTTGATAAAAAGGTTTAAAAGCAAAGGGAAATATTTCCCTGGGTTTTAAGAAATTGATTTTTTTAACTGATGTCACAAGTTCACAAACAAACTACTACATTTTTTAAACTAAATAAATATCATTAAAAAATGTCAAAAACAAGCCTGAAAAATAAAAATATAGTATCTTCTTAATGTGTAGAACAGTCATATTTAATGATTAGAATAGGTTTGGTTAGAGAGAGATCAGCCGTGAGGTCATTCTGTAAGATTAAATGCAGGTCACAGCACTTAATTTAGAAGTTAGTATTCCACAATGAGACACTGAATTACACAGGAGGTGTTTGTACACTGGGCAGATACCCTGGATACCGCTGTGTATTCCCAGCTGTTTAGATAGCTAAGAACAACAAATATGCTCTGTAAATACACAAAAAATGCTGCACTTCCCTCTCTCTCCTGTCAGGTCAGATATCAAGATCCAAGGAAAACTAGAAGTCTATATAACTAGAGAACATAGTGGCAAATCAACTGCATTTTCACATATCAAGATCATTCCATTTCTGAAAGTATTAGTCAAAAATGTTTTCAATACCATCTAAAACGCCCATAACAGAAATGATTTGTATTTCCTCAAGAGGCCAGATCTAGTAAGCTGAAATAACTATTTCTGTTATCAATATCCAAAGGCATGGAGTATCCCCACCTATTGCAAGGAAACCCAAATTCTCCAAGGTGAGCAGAACTTCAGGTTATAGACAGTTACTGTATGTCACAAATCTACTACCGGAACAGTTGTGCAGAATTACTTAACATGGCTCCTGATTCTTTCCTCTTGCTGCCCACTATACCTCCCTTATACTGAAGAGTCCACCAAGACCCAGTTCAAGCCCAATTGCTAAATAAAGATTCTGGGATGATACTTCTAATTCTTCCTCCCTAATCTCTATCCTCCATTAGCTCATTTTATCAAATTCACTTTCTGTGTACTTTACAACACAATGAAATCTGAGTCAAGGACTAGTGCCTTGCTCCAGGTAATACTTGGCATAGGTCTTGGCTTCTCAATTCCACCTATACATTTCAAACAATGGAGGCACTTTTTAAAAAGTGTGTACTGGTTCACATGGGTACATGCACTTACATATACACAAATACAAGTACTCGAGCATTAAAGATGGTGGTGGGAGAGGTCAGACAGAGGCTTCCACCTAAAATTGCATACAATACAAAAATATAATTAATACAACTAATCCTGAAAAAGCAACAGGAAAGAGGATTGCGCTAGACCGCATACACCTCATGGAATAGGGTAACGTACCAAAGCTGCGGACCAGCGGAATCCAAAGCCCTTCCCGCACCCCAGCTCACAGGTGGGAGGAAGAGAAACGGAGCAGGGAGGGAGTGGAGGCCTGGGACTGCTGAATACCTAACTCTGGAGATCTGCTCTGGGAGCACAAACCTACATTTCATGGAGCTTGTATGGTACTCCCATGATTAGTAGATTGGAAAGCTAAGACAAGCAGAATTTGTGGAGAGACTAACATTACAGCTCCTTGTGGAAAGCAGGGACACATGTCTGGCTGGTCTGGGACAAAAGAAAGGCAGGTAGTCTGAGAGACTTCCTAACAAGGAAACCCTTAGCAAGATGACTGCTAAAGGGGCAAGGATTGCACAGAGCTTACTGCTCAGGAGAAAGGACAGATAGACAAAATTGTCCGGGTGCACTCTGCCCAGGAGGTTGGGAGCTTTCAGGATCTTCAGGGGCTCCAGCCCCCTGGCTGGCTACACAGCACCAAGGACCCCCTCAATGATAGTCAGCCTAATGGGCCTTTCTCCTGGCCAGCCCCACCTGGCTAGCAAACCAGCAAACCCTACCCTGACGTTAGGCCAGCCAGAGGGAAGATCTGTCTACAGCAACTACAAACGCTCAGCATAGAGGCTTAAACCTGTGTGCTTGGCCAACTGCTACACGCAGTGGAGACACACATAGTGGCCAGGAAGCAGGAAACACCTCTTTCCTCCCACCAGGTACCAGTACCGCTCCCCTGTGAACCTGACATTGCTTTAGGGGCTGAGCAGCTCCAGAGAGTAGAGCTTCTGGGCACTAGAGGGCGACATATACAAATATGAAAGTCCAAAGGAACTTGGTTCAAAGCAAAATTATTAACACAACTCCTGAGAAAGATTTAAATGACATCGACCTCATGAATCTTCCTGAAATGGAGTTCAAAATAAAAACAATTAACATCCTCATGGAGGTATGGAAAGATATTCAATAACTCATGAATGAATTCCGGTCAGAGATCCAATCGTTGAACAGCATAATGGAGGGTAGTAAAAGCAGGAGACAATAAATGAAATAGAAACCAGAGAAAAGGAATACAAAGAAGGTGAGGCACAGAGAGAAAAACAGATCTATGAGAATGAAAGAATATTTAGAGAACTATGTGACCAATCCAAATAGAACAATATTAGCATTATAGGGATACCAGAAGAAAAAGAAGAGAGAAAAAGGGAAAGCAAGTGTCTTTAAAGTTCCTCAATCTGGGGAAGGAGACAGTCTCTCAGGTCATGGAGATCCACAGACCTCCCAACACAGGGGACCCAAGAAAAACAACACCAAGACATATAGTAATTAAAACGGCAAAGATCAAGCATAAGGACAGACTATTAAAAGCAGCCAGAGAGAAATAAGATCACATACAAAGGAAAGCCCATCTGGCTAACATAAGACTTCTCAGCAGAAACCTTAAACAGGCCAGAAGGGAGTGGCATGATGTATTTAATGCCATGAAGCACAAGGCCCTGGAACCAAGATTACTTTATCCAGCAAGATTATCATTTAAATTTGAAGTAGGGATTAAACAATTTCCAGATTAAGCAAAAGAGGAGAGAATTTACTTCCCACAAACTATCTCTACAGTCTATTTTGGAGGCACTGCTATAGATGGAAGTATTCCTAAGGTTTAATAGCTGTCACCAGAGGTAATAAAACCACAGTAAAGAAAGTAGAACAGTTAATCACTAAGCAAATGCAAAATTAAATTAATTATCCCCAAAGCCAATCAAGGGATAGACAAAGAGTAGAGAATATGATACCTAATTTATAAAAAATGGAGGAGGAAGAAAAAGGAGGAAAAGAAGAAAAGAAACTTTAGATTGTGTTTGTAATAGCATACTGACTCAAGTGAGACTCTAAAATAGTAAGGAAGTTGACCTTGAACCTTTGGTAACCACGTATCTAAAGCCTGCAATGGCAATAAGTACATACCTACCGATGATCACCCTAAATGGAAATGGTCTGAATGCACCAATCAAAAGACATAGAGTCACACAATGGATAAAAAAACAAGACCCATCTATATGCTGCCTACAAGAGACTCACTTTAAACCCAAAGACATACACAGACTAAAAGTGAAGGGATGGAAAAAGATATTTCATGCAACTAAGAGGGAGAAAAAAGCAGGAGTTGCAGTACTTGTATCAGACAAAACAGACTTCAAAACAAAGAAAGTAACAAGAGACAAAGAAGGACATTACATAATGATAAAAGGGTCAATCCAACAAGAAGATATAACCGTTATAAGTATCTATGCGTCCAACACAGGAGCACCTATGTGAAACAAATACTAACAGAATTAATAGGGGAAATAGAATACAATGCACTCATTCTAGGAAATGTCAACACTCCACTCACTCTGAAGGACAGATCAACCAGACAGAAAATAAGGAGACAGAGGCACTGAACAATACATTAGAACAGATGGACTTAACAGACATCCACAGAACTCTACACCCAAAAGCAACAGAATACACATTCTTCTAAAGTGCATATGCTAGGCCACAAAAAGAGCCTCAGTAAATTCAAAAAGATTGAAATTGTACCAACCAGTTTCTGAGAACACAACGGTATGAAACTAGAAATAAATTAAGCAAAGAAAATGAAAAATCCCACAAACACATGGAGGCTTCACAACCTGGTCCTAAAATGGATCAATGACCAAATAAAAAGATATCAAGCAATATATGGAGACAAATGACAACGGTAATTCAACACGGCAAAAATCTGTGGGACACAGCAAAGGCTGTGCTAAGAGGAAAGTATATTGCAATACAGGCCTAACTCAGGAAAAAAGAACAATCCCTTGTGAGCAGTTTAAACTCACAATTAACAAAACTAGAAAAAGAAGAACAAATGAGGCCCAAAGCCAGTAGAAAGAGGGACATAATAAAGATTAGAACAAATAAAATCGAGAAGAATTAAACAACAGAAAGAATCAATGAAAGCAGAAGCTGGTTCTTCGAGAAAATGAACAGAACAGATAAATCTTTAGCTAGGCTTATCAAGAAAAAAACAGTCTACTGACATAAACAGAATCAGAAATAAGAAACGAAAAATAACTATGGACACCACAGAGATACAAAGAATTATGAGAGGATACTATGAAAAATTATATGCTAACAAACTGAATAACCTAGAAGAAATGGACAACTTTCTAGAAAAATACAACTTTCCAAGGCAGACCCAGGAAGAAAACAGAAAATCTGAATAGACCAATTACCACCAAAGAAATTGAACTGGCAATGAAAAAACTACCTAAGAACAAAACACCTGAACCAGATGGTTTCACTGCTGAATTTTATCAAACATTTAGTGAAGACCTAATACCCATCCTCCTTAAAGTTTTCCAAAAAGTAGAAGAGGAGGGAATACTCCCAAACTCATTCTACAAGGCCAACATCACTCTAATACCAAAACCAGGCAAAGACACCACAAAAAAAGAATTACAGACCAATATCCCTGATGAACATAGATGCAAAAATACTGAACAAAATATTAGCCAACTAAATTCAAAAATACATCAAAAAGATCATCCATCATGAACAAGTAGGATTTATTCCAGGGATGCAAGGATGGTAGGACATTCGAAAATCCATCAATATCATCGACCACATCATTAAAAAGGACAAAAACCACATTATCATCTCCACAGATGCTGAAAAAGCATTTGACAAAATTCAACATTCATTCATGATAAAAACTCTCAACAAAATGGGTATAAAGGGCAAGTAACTCAACATAATAAAGGTCATATGTGACAAACCCACAGCCAACATTATACTTAACAGTGAGAAGCTGAAAGCTTATCACCAAAGATTGGGAACAAGACAAGGATGCCCACTCTCCCCACTTCTATTCAACATAGTACTGGAGGTCCTAGCCACGGCAATCAGACAACACAAAGAAATAAAAGGCATCCAGATTGGCAAGGAAGAAGTCAAACTTTCCCTGTTTGTAGATGACATGATATTGTACATAACAAACCCTAAGGAATCCACTACAAAAGTACTAGATCTAATATTTGAATTCAGCAAAGTTACAGGATACAAAATTAATATGCAGAAATCTGTTGCATTCCTATATACTAATGATGAACTAGCAGAAAGAGAAATCAAGGAAACACTTCCATTCATAATTTCATCAAAAAGAATAAAACACCTCAGAATAAACCTAACCAAGAAGTGAAAGACCTATACTCTGAAAACTACAAGACACTCATGAGAGAAATTAAAAAAGATACCAATAAATGGAAACTCATCCCATGCTCTTGGGTAGGAAGAATTAATAATGTCAAAATGGCCAACCTGCTTAAAGCAATCTACAGATTCAATGCAATTCCTATCAAAATACCAACAGCATTCTTCAACGAACTAGAGAAAATTGTTCTGAAATTCATATGGAACCACAAAAGAACCCAAACAGCCAAAGCAATCCTGAGAAGGAAGAATAAAGCTGGGGGGATTATGCTCCCCAACTTCAAGCTCTACTACAAAGCCACAGTAATCAAGACAATTTGGTACTGGCACAAGAACACACCCATAGACCAATGGAACACACTAGAAAGCCCTGATATAAACCCAACCATATATGGTCAATTAATATATGGTAAAAGAGCCATGGACACACAAAGGGGAAATGACAGCCTCTTCAACAGCTGGTGTTAGCAAAACTGGACTGCTACATATAAGAGTATGAAACTGGATTACTGTCTAACTCCATATACAAAAGTAAACTTGAAATGGATCAAAGACTTGAATGAAAATCATGAAACCATAAAACTCTTAAGACAACATTGGCAAAAATCTCCTGAATAAAAGCATGAGCACCTTATTCCTGAATGCATCTCCTCAAGAAAGGGAAACAAAAGCAAAAATGAACTCATGGACTACATCAAACTAAAAAGTTTCTGTACTTCAAAGGACATGATTAACACAACAAAAAGGTATCCTACAGTATGGGAGAGTATATTTGTAAATGGACTGTCCAACATGGGGTTAACATCCAAAATATATAAAGAACTTACACACCTCAACAACCAAAATGAAAATAACCCAATTAACAAATGGGCAGAGGATATGAAGAGACAGTTCTCCAAAAGAGAAATTCAGATGGCCAACAGACAAATGAAAAGATGCTCCACATCACTAATCATCAGGGAAATACAAATTAAAACACAATGAGATATCACCTCACACCAGTAAGGATCACCACCATCCAAAAGACTAAGAACAACAAATGCTGATGAGGATGTGGAGAAAGGGGAACCCTCCTACACTGCTGGTGGGAATGTAAGCTAGTTCAACCATTGTGGAAAACAGTATGGAGGTTCCTCAAAAAACTAAAAATAGAAATACCATTTGACCCAGGAATCCCACTCCTTGGAATTTACCCAAAGAATACAACTTCTCAGATTCAAAAAGACATATGCACACCTATGTTCATTGCAACACTACTTACAATAGCCAAGATATGGAAGCAACTTAAGTGTCCATCAGGAGATGAATGGATAAAGAAGATGTGGTACACATACACAATGGAATACTATTAGGCATGGAATACTATTAGGCCATAAGAAAGAAACAAATCATACCATTTGCAAGAACATGGATGGAGCTGGAGGACATTATGCTCAGTGAAATAAGCCAAGCAGAGAAAGACAAGTACCAAATGATTTCCCTCATTTGTGGAGTATAACAATGAAGCAAAACTGAAGGAACAAAATGGCAGCAGACTCAAGAGACTCCAAGAATGAACTAATGGTTACCAAAGGGGAGGGGTGTGGGAGGGCGGGTGGGGAGGGAGGGAGAAGGGGGTTGAGGGGTATTATGTTTAGTACACATGGTGTGGGCGATCACAGGGAGAACAGTGTATCACAGAGAAGGCAAATAGTGGATCTCTGGCAGCTTGCTGCGCTGATGGACTGTGACTGCATTGGGGTATGGGTGGGGACTCGATAATATGGGCAAATGTAGTAACCAGATTGTTTTTTCATGTGAAATATTCATAAGAGTGTGTAGCAATAATACCTTAATAAAAAGTTAAAAAAAAATACAAGTGCTCAACTCTCAATCCTGAAGATTCCTACTTGGTAATGCATAGACTCTGGCATTATTTTATTATTATTTACTAAAGTTCTCTATTGAGTATAGAACTATTGTTTAGCATATTAGAGCAGTGCTTCTCAAACAATTCTTACTCCAGTTTCTCAAGGTCTTGTTCATGACGAAGAGCAACATGCCTGAAGGTCAGTTAAAAAATCTCATGTCCTACCTATGCTCTTAGTGTGGCCTGGCTAAGATTCCAGCAAGTTGGAAAGGACAGTACATCAGCATAACAGTAGCCGATGGAAAGGCAGAGGAAAAAGACATAGATGGTTCAATCACAACTCTGGGGAGTTGTTCAACACTCTCAAAACAGAGACAGCACCATGCCTTGGCCTGCCCCACTTCAAGCACTGACACCCTCATACAGTCATCAATGACACTAAAAATGCTATGTTCCCAACACAGTTCTCAACGTGACATGAATGTGCAGACAAGAAGACAGCAGTGGAAAGTTTGCATGTTCAAATCACCATTTTATTAGGGTACAAGAAATGATTTGGAGCCAAGCAGGGGAAAATATTGTATCATATTCATGAGAAATTGTTTCTAAACCACAGATTTCAGGTAAACCACAGCAAAGAATGAACCAATTATCAGGAGTCAAGTACGGATGTCTGTTTAAAGGCCTTCTGACATCCCCCCTGCCAACTGAGAAATGCCAACAGTTGGAAACGGACCTTTTTCACCACTCTGCAACTACTTTCTTTCACGTTCAGTGCTTTTAGGTGTTACTTCCATCAACCTATCTTCACTAACAGTTTACTAACTTCACTATCATCCATCATTAACAGTTCCTGAAGTTCTTTCCAATGGGAACTTAATTCTTATGGGAAGGTGGGGTAGGATGTGCAACAGCAGATAACATCATTTTGATGAAAAACAACCAACTTATAAGGGCCTCCACTGCACAGGGTGGCATTTTAAGAAAAAGTACACTAACTTTATGGAAGAAGAAAACACCTAAAAATGCCAAAAATACAAGCATCTAGGCAGACTGGGAAAAAAACTGTCTTTGCACAATTCTGGCAAAGCTGGAACACTGACAGATGTTTGCAAATTAGACTTTAACATTAGTACAGAGACAGATTTGAAATAAAATCCAAGAAAAAGATGAACAAGAAGGATGCCTGACTGAGTGCTTAAGACTGAAAAGATTTCAACTAATCACAAAGAAATATTTTTATCTTGGTCCAGAAAACTCAGAATAATTGAATTCCACATGGAATCATCAGATATGTGCTTGGAAATTATCACATCATTGTTTTCTGGACTGAAATCTACTGCAGAAATTTTTATATTTAGACAAGAATTATAAAGCATTTGTAATTCTAGACTACACATTTCTAAAAACCCCATACTGAAATCAAAGTGAGTTACCAGACTCTGAGAAGAACAGGAGTGGACAGCAGTGGAGCAGCCAGTCCCAGGCGCCATCTGACTGGTGTGCTGAGAATTTGTGAAGACAAGGGCTTGGCCAAAGCCCTGCTGTTGGGAAGTTTCAAAGGAGTTGACTTCTGAGGCTTCACTGGAAGGAACAGGCTTCTGGAGCAAGGTTACCAGATCAATACTGAGCAAACAAAAAGAAATGGGGAATGAGTAAATCCCATCAACAATTGAATTTTAGGAAGTGAATTGGTACTAAGTAGAGCCATTCTAAAAAAAAAAAAAATCTAAGAATGGAAAAACCTTTGAAAACTGTTTTTAAGGGAGCCAAGAAAAAGTAGGATATCAGTCATCGCTTCCCCCCTCCAAAAAAAAAGGCATATGAAGCCACAGAGACTGAAGCAGAGCTCTGTGGAGAAGAGAAACAGAAAGATGTGTTGAGACAGTTCCACAGAAAGAGCATGACAATTGATTTGAAAACCTGGAGCAACTGAGTCAAAGTTTGGCTCATTTCCCTTAGAATATTTTGCCCTGCTTATTACTTGGAACCAGTTCTCTCAACTCTCCTAAAGGAGAGTGAATCCATATTTTGGGGGAATGAGGAACACAGCCATGGTAGACCTTTCAAACACATTCACATTTGTTATAAATATTCCTACAAGTTCTGTCATAAATATTCCTACAAGTCCTGCATTCTATCCCATAATACATTAAGATTTTTAATTTTACAATTTTCCCTCTTAAATATTCAAGAAAAAATGCACAATATATAGCAAATACACTATTAACTAAAACACCTATAATGCCCTCAGAGAAACAGGTATTCCAATTTGAGAATCATGACCTAAAAACCTAAGATCAGGAAGAACAAATGATCTTCCAAATATATACTACCTGACATGTGAGTGGGCTACTAACTCTTCTCCATAAGATCAGCAAAATGTACACGATTGCTTAATGTGATAATTGATTCCATTAAATCTTCTGAAAGGCCAGTTTCCAGTCAGTTCTATCAGGAACTCTCACCATGCAAATGAGGCACATTGTGGGAGGTCAAATAATTGAAGACTCAATCCTGATACAGAGCCAAGTTTGTAGGCCTGAGTTCCTCTCCTTATGCATTACACATTCTCACTTTGCTATAATCCCAGGTTGAAGTCCGAGACTAGCATTGTGGATCCCAAAGTAATGTTACCAAGTTTACGATTTACTAACTCTAGGGATATAAACAAACCTATGGTAGTTATATTACATATGACCCATCTTAAAAGTTTTGTGACTTCAAAAATAACATTAAATTTTATTTAGAAAAGATTTGTAAGATATATGTATGGTAAATTGTACAGTATTATCTTCTTAAAAATAACCATTAAAAAAGTCCACTTCACATTTTTTTTTAAATGAAAATGATCTTACCAAATCCCCTAGTAATAAATACAGTGAAGTACTTATATCCACTTAACAAGAAATTCTGAGCAATTCATAAAACAATATAAGACATAACCTTTGATCATTTTTACTTCTCTATAATGATGTCATATAACCATCTCATTTAGTAGGAGATTGAGCATGTTAGGTTCAAAACTGCTTTCAATTCCCAGGTATCACATACATTAGGCTTTCATCCTTCTGGATCCTGATATTTTTGAAACCATAATCTAATATTTTTAGTGTTACATCCTATGAAAAAATAGGATGTAAGTGCATGCTTTTCAATATTTAGTTCTGTACACATTCTAACAATGTTTCTATTACCCTAAAAGTTCCTTCTTTTTCATGAACTATGACTCACAATCATAATACAGGTAGGTTACAGGGAAGGCAGTACAAAACAAAGACAAGTAATGACTCTACAGCATCTTACTATGCTGAAACACAGTGACTGAAATGGGGGGGGAGGGGGAAGGACTTGATAATATGGGCAAATGTTGAAATCACAGTGTTCATGTACAACCTTCATAATAAGATTGTATATCAATGATACTTTAATAAAAAAAAATTCCTACCTTTTCAATAATTCACAAGACTAGGTTAAAACCAGCAGAGTCCAATTGTTTCTCAAGTATACTTCAAGGAAAAAAAACGAAACAAGAAACTAGGATAGACCACATAAAATGAAATGTCTGCATTAGCCTAAGAAGCTCTAAATAAATGGTAGTATCTGAAGAAACCAAAGGGTATCTTGCATTAAGTTCATCTGTCAAAAAAACAGTGTATTTACAAAACTAAAAAAAGATCATTAAGTAGGTTTAAATTGACTCTGCCATAAATGACAACCATAATTGCTATTTTAATTAATCAGATATAACCAATTAAGAACTGAAGGGGCTTGCTTCCACAGCACATAACTAAAATTGGAACAAAACAGAGAAGATTAGCATGGCCCCTGCACAAGGATAACATGCAAATTTGTGAAGCGTTCCATATACGAAAAAAAAATGATGTAGGCTCTGGCAGCTCAGATAGGTTAGGTTATTGATAAAACAGTCTTAGTGAAAAAAGGGGAAAACAAAAAGGGATTCAAGAAAAGGAAAAAAAAAAAGAGACTTGAAACAATTTCAGAGGCAAAAATTCCAATTACACTTTGAACAACAAACAAATGGTAGCAAGAAGTATTTACCTTTGCCCAGGTGTGACATGATTCTCTGCTGGAGCAGATGAAGCAGTGAAGACCTTTGTTTCAGAAAGCTGTATAGAAAGAATGAAAGACAAACAACAACAAATGTTGGTGAGGTTGTGGAGAAAGGTGAACCCTCCCTACATTGCTGGTGGGACTGTAAATTAGTTCAACCATTGTGGAAAGCAGTATGGAGGTTCCTCAAAAAATTAAAAATAGAAATACCATTTGACCCAGGAATTCCACTCCTAGGAATTTACCCTAAGAATGCAGAAGCCCAGTCTGAAAAACACCTGTGTTTATTGTAGCACTATTTACAATAGCCAAGAAATGGAAACAACCTAAGTGTCCATCAGTAGATGAATGGATAAAGAAGATGTGGAACATATACACAGTGGAGTATTATTCAGCCATAAGAAGAGAACAAATGCTACCACTTGCAACAACATGGATGGAGCTAGAGGGTATTATGCTCAGTGTAATAAGCCAGATAAAAAGACAAGTAATAAATGAATTTCACGTGTATGTGGTGTAGAAGAACAAAGAGAAAATTGAAGGAACAAAACAGCAGCAGACTCAGAGAACCCAAGAATGGACTAACAGTTACCAAAGGGAAAGGGACTGGAGAGGATGGGTTGGAAGGGAGGGATAAGTGGGGGAAAAAAGAAAGGGGGCATTAAGATTAGCATGTATAATGTGGGGGGAAGCATGGGGAGGGCTGTGCAACACAAAGACAAGAAGTGATTCTACAGCATCTTACTACCCTGATGGACAGTGACTGTAATGGGATTTGTGGGGGGAACTTGGTGAAGGGGGGAGTCTAGTAAACACAATGTTGCTCATGTAATTGTAGATTAATGATACAAAAAAAAAATGAGAACACCAATAAAACCCCCACCAATGTTACCATAAATGCCACAGAGGAGGAGGGAAGTTTTAAAACGCAAAATAATTGACACTTTTTCCTCCAAAACAGACAGCTTTAGTAATCAGTACTTCTATTTTTTTAAGTTGTTTTTATAAAAAATAACTTGAAGAGGCTTAAAGATGGTGGTGGGAGAAGTGAGACAGAAACCTCCTCCCCAAACCACATAATACAAAAATACAGCAAATACAACTAATCCTGAAAGACCAACTGGAAAGAAGACTGCAACAGACTACCTACTTCTGGGGAAAAGAGGAGACCTCACAGAAAAGGATGAAGTAGAAAAACTGCAATGCAGCGGGACACGAAGCCTCCGCCCACCCAGGCTTTCACCCAGGCGGGAGAAAGAGAAACAGAGTGGGGAAGGAGTAGAAGCCTAGGACTGCTAAATACACAGTCCTGTAGATCTGCTCTGGGAGTACAAACCTAAAGTATACGGTGCTCTGGAGATTAGTGGGGTTGGAAAGCAAAGACAGGTAGAATGCTCAGAGAGACGGAGATTTCAGTTGCTTGTGGAGAACAGGTACGCATAACAGGCTGCTCAGGGACAAAGGATTATACAGACCTTGCAGATAAGGAGAAACGATAGGTAGACAAAATCGTCCCAGCACACTCAGCCCAGCACGTTGGGAATTTTCAGGAGCTTCATGCACTCTACTGCCCTGGCTGGGGACGCACACAAAGGCACCACAATGCAATACGCAGACTGGCAATCTTTTCTCCCAGCAGGCACCGCTTTGCAAACTTGCTACCACTGCCATTGAACCAGGCCAGCCAGAGGGTGGCCCCACCTACGATAGCAACAAGGGTGTAACACAAAGGCTCCTTCTTGTGTGCTTGACCCACTAGCCCTGGAACTGGAGGCAGGTACTAGAGCTGGGAAGCAGAAAGAGCTCTTTATTCCTGGCAGGTGCCGGTGCCCCTCACCTGCAAACCCCGCCATCGCTCCAGGGGTGGGGCAGCTCAAGAAAGCAGAGGTCCTGGGCACTAGAGTGCACCACATACACAAAGTTATTATTCCATGTTTTTCATTACAAATATGAAATGGCACAAGAACCTGGTATAACCCAAATTCCAAAAACAACAGAGACTGCAGTGAAACTAAAATCAGCAATATTCCTGATAAAGATTTGAAAATAAAAATCATAAACATGCTCACGGAGCTACAGAAAAATATTCAAGATCTCAGGGACTTCAAGAGATACAAACTTTCAAAAAACAATTATCTGAAATGAAACATACAATGGAGGGATTTAAAAGCAGATGAGATGAGATAGAGGAGGCGGTAAATAAAATACAAATTAGAGAACACGAATAAAAAGAAGCTGAGGCAGAGAGAAAAAAGGATCTCTAGGAATGAAATAACATTAAGAGAACTGTGTGACCAATGCAAAAGTAACAATATTCGCACTATAGGGGTACCAGAAGAAGAAGAGAGAGAAAAGGGGATATAAACTGTCACTGAGGAAATAAATGCTGAAACCTTTTCCCATCTGGGGAAGGAAATAGTTTCTCAGGCCATGGAACTGCACATATCTCCCAACATAAAGGACCCAAGGAAGACAAAATCAAGACATATAATAAGTAAAATGGGAAAGATCAAGGACAACGACAGTACTCAAAACAGCCAGAGAGAGTAAGAAACATCAAATACAAAAGAAAGCCCATCGGACTATTGTCAGACCTCTCTGCAGAAACTTTACAGGACAGAGGAGAGAGGCATGATATATTTAATGTAATGACACAAGGGAAATTGAACCAAGAATACTCTACTCAGCAAGATTATCATTTAAATTTCAAGGAGGGATTAAACGATTTCCAGATAACCAAATTTGGAAGAATTTACCTCACAAACCATCTCTATAGCGTATTTTTGAGGGACAGCTATAGATGGAAGCGCTCCTAAGGCTAAATAGCTTTCACCAGAGAAAATTAAAACCACAGTAACGGAAACAGACCAATTAGAGACTAAGCAAATGCAAAATTAAATCAACTACACACAAACTCAGTCAAGGGACACACAAACAGCACAGAATATGACATCTAATACAAAAAAAGTGGAGGAGAAAGAAAAAGAAGGGAAGAGAAAAAACAACATTAGATTGTGTTTGAAATAGCATACTAAGTGAGTTAAATTAGACTGTTAGATAGTAAAGAAGCTACCCTTGAACCTTTGGTAACAACAAATCTAAAGCCTGCAATGGCAATAAGTACATATCTCTGGATAATCTTTTTAAATGTAAATGGACTGAATGCACAAATCAAAAGACACAAAGGTGCAGAATGGATTAAAAAAAAAAAAAGACCGATCCATCTGCTGCCTAAAAGAGACTCACTTCAAACCCAAAGACACAGACAACAAGGGAATGGACAGAAAGAGTATTATGCAAATAATAAAGGGCAAAAAAGCAGGAGTTGCAATGTACTTGTATTAGACAAAACAGACTTTAAAACAAAGAAAGTAACAAGAGGCAAACAAGGACATTATAGAATGATAAAGGGGTCGCTTCAAAAAGAGGATATAACCATTACAAAATATCTATACACCAATGAAACTAGAAAAGGAAGAAGAAATGAGGCCCAAAGCCAGTAGAAGGGACATAATAAAGATTAAAGCAGAAATAAATAAAATTGAGAAGAATAAAACAACAGAAACAATCAATGAAAGCAGGAGCTGGTTCGAAAAAATTAATGAAACAGATAAACGCATAGCCAGACTTATCAAGAAAAAAAGAGAGTCTACACACATAAACAGAATCAGAAATGAGAAAGGAAAAATAATTACAGACACCACGAAATACAAATTCTGAGAGAATACTATGAAAAATTACATGCCAACAAGCTGGATAACCTAGAAGAAACACACAACTTTCTAGAAAAATACAATGTTCCAAGGAGGACCCAGGAAGATACAGAAAATCCAATTAGGCCAATTACCAGCAAAGAAACTGAACTGGTAATCAAAAAACTACCTAAGAACAAAATCCCTGGGCCAGATGGATTCACTGCTAAATTTTATCAAACATTTAGTGAAGACCTAAACCCATCCTACTTAAAAGTTTTCCAAGAAGTAGAAGAGGGAATACTCTCGAACTCATTCTACGAGGCCAACATCACTCTAATACCAAAACTAGGCAAAGATACCACAAAAAAAGAAAATTACAGACCAATATCCCTGATGAACATAGATGCCAAAATACTCAACAAAATATTAGAAAACCAAATTCAAAAATACATCAAAAAGTTCATCCATCAAAATCAAGTGGGACTCACCCAAGGGATGCAAGAATGGTACGACATTCAAAAATGAATCAACATCACCCACAACATCAACAAAAAAAGACAAAAACCACATAATTATCACCACAGATCTGAAAAGCATTTGACAAAATTCAAAATCCATTCATGATAAAAACTCTCAACAAAATGGGTATAGAGGGTAAATACCTCAACATAATAAAGGCCATACATGACAAACCCACAGCCAACATTACACTTAACAGCGAGAAGCTGAAAGCTTTCCCTTTAAGATAGGGAACAAGACAGGGATGCCCACTCTCCCCACTTTTATTCAACATAGTACTGGAGGTCCTAGCCATGGCAATCAGACAACACAAAGAAATAAAACACATCCAGATTGGTCAAGGAAGAAGTCAAACTGTCATTGTTTGCAGATGACATGATATTGTACATAAAAAACCCTAAAGAATCCACTCCAAAGCTACTAGATGTAATATCTGAATTCACCAAAGTTGCAGAATACAAAATTAATCTGCAGAAATCTGTTCATTCCTATACACTAACCATGAACTAGCAGGAAGAGAAATCAGGAAATCAATCCCATTCACAATTGCATCAAAAAGAATAAAATACCTAGGAATGAACCTAACCAAGGAAGTGAAAGACCCATACACTGAAAACTACAAGACACTTTTAAGAGGAATTAAAACCGACACTAACAAATGGAAATTAATCCCATGCTCTTGGCTAGGAAGAATTAGTATTTCCAAAATGGCCATCCTGCCTAAAGCAATCTACAGATTCAATGCAATCTCTATCAAAATACCTACAGCATTCTTCAATGAACTGGAGCAAATAGCTGTAAAATTCATATGGAATGACAAAAGACCCCGAATAGCCAAAGCA